GTGTTTGATTCGGGATCAACGGTACCGTGGTCGGATGCGTGTTTACTTTGGCTTGCTGGCAAGTTGCGCATCCTTTCACGTATTCCTCTACCTGTTTCATCATTCCTGGCCACCAATAGGATTTTTTTATTAGTTGATAGGTTTTTAGTCTTCCTGGGTGTCCTGCAGTTAGCAAGTCGTGGTGATTTTTGATGATCGTTCTCTGTTCTTCTGCAGTGTCGATCAGTAGTTTGTTCTGATAGAAGAACTGTCCTTCCGCTTTGTGCCAATCTTCCTTTTTCGTTCTTCCAGGGTAGTTGTCGTTGGTGAGCATTGCTGGCTCTATTGTGTCTTTTATTGTTCTCGTGTGATACAGAAACGCCGACGCTGGTATCATTGGGGTGTCGTCGTCGTCGTCGTCCGTGTTATCGATGTACAAGTCGGGTCGTCTCGAGAGTGCGTCAGGTACCACCATGTGGGTTCCAGGTACGTGCTCTAATGTGTAATTGTATTGTGACAGTTCCAGCTGCCACCTTTGTTGTCGTGGTGTGAGTTTCCTGGCCTCCTGCCAGTACGTCAGGTTCTTGTGATCCGTTAGAATTTGGATCGTGTGTGGGCTTCCTAAAAGCAGGTGTTTCCACTCCTTCAGAGCTCTCATTACCGCTAAAAGTTCCTTGTCGTAGATCTGGTAGTTTTTCTCTGCGGGGGATAGGGTTTTCGAGAAAAATGCGCACGGGTGCCATTGTCCTTGATCGTCTGGTTGCATTAATACAGCTCCGGTGGCGTGTTTGCTCGCGTCCGCTGCTATCTTCGACGGTTTTGAGGAATCGGGGATTTGGGTTACAGGGGATTTGAGGAATCTTTGTTTCAATAGTTTGAAAGCGTCATCTTCGATTTTCGTCCAGTTCCACTTTTTGTCTTTTTCTAGCAAGGCGTTTAGGGGTTGGGCTAGGTCAGAGTAATGGCCTATAAACTTCCTGTAGAAGTTTCCGTAACCTAAGAACTTCCGTACGCCTTTGGTGTCTTTCGGGGTTGGCCAATCGCGTATTCCTGCGAGTTTGGCTGGGTCCATGGATACCTGGTTGTGGGAAACAATCATTCCCAAGTACTCGATGGTCTCCGCCTCAAAGGTACATTTTTCAAGTTTCAGGAATAGGTCGTTTTCTCGTAGCCTTTGTAGAACCTGTTTTGTCCGGATGCGGAGTGTTTCGACATTGGTGTCAAAGATGAGGATGTCGTCCATGTATATGATCATCCAGCCTTCATCAATATAGTCTTTGAATTTGTCGTTCATCAGCCTTTGGAATGTTGCCGGGGAATTGCACATGCCGAAAAACATGACCGTTGGTTCGAATACTCCCTTGCTGGTTTTGAAGGCAGCTTTCCATTCGTCTCCTTCTTTTATCCTTACGTTGTTGTATCCCCAACGTAGATCCAGTTTAGTAAAGACGGTGGCTCCTTTCAATCTTTCGATGAGGTCGGGTATGAGGGGTAGTGGATATGGGTCTTTTACGGTATATGTGTTTAGTTTTCTGTAATCTTGGCATGGTCGGAGTGATCCGTCCTTCTTGCCAATGAAGAAGAAGGGGGACACCTGTGGCGACTTGCTTGGCCTGATGTATCCCTTTCTGTAGTTGTCCGTCAAGAATTCCGTTAACGCTTCATCTTCCTTTGGTGTCAGTGGGTACAGTTTGCAATCCGTAGGTACAAATTCCGGTTTCATGTTGATTACATGATCATATTCCCGTCGCTTGGGGAGTCTTTCCGATTTCTTCTTGTCAAAGACGTCTGAATAGCCCTTATATTCATCTGGGAGGATATGTTTTTCTTTTCTTTCTCCGTGTATTTGTGCGTGTTCCATTGCCGAGTTGACTTTTAATCGAATCGTGGTTCGAGGATAGGGTGTGTGGTCGGATACGTATCTGTGAATGGTTTCGTATTCGTCCTCGTCTACTGTGGTTGTCCTGATTTTTGTTTCCGTGGTAGTTTGGTTTGTCCTGATTGAGTGTTTGTCTGAGTACGGTAATTCTTTGTCTTTCCAGTTAATGACCGGGTTGACTTTTCGTAACCAGGGGAAGCCTAGCAGTACGTCTTCTCCGTCCAGTCCGGTTAATAGAAACTTCGTAAACCTGTTTTGTCCTCCTGCGTCTATTCTCTGATAGGTGCAATGCGTAATTTTTCCGTTTTTGTTCGTGGTTCCGTCAACGTTTTTACACGTTATAGGGGTCGGGAGTTTTTGGAGGGGGAGTCGGTTTTTAATGGCGAATTTTGTGTCCATGAAGTCGTCCGTAGCTCCTGAATCTATCAGGGCTTTGGTTCCGATGGTTTTCTGTTTTAACGAGCAATCAATTCGTAAAGAGTTGGCATTGATCGTTGCTATTGTTACAGTTGCCATTTTCGACAGTACTAACATCGGGGTAGTCCGTCGTTTCAAAAACCCTCGTCTTTTAATTCTTTCATCGCCTCAGCTTTTTGGTCTTCTCCCAACTCCCTCCACATCCTCATGATGTTTTGGACCCTGTCTTCTTCTACCACTGTCTTGACGTCATCTTCAGTTTTGGTTTGACGTACCTTTCTTTCGGGAGTTTTTCCTTTGTTCCTACAATTCCTCCCGATGTGTCCTTTTTTGTTGCATATGAAGCACCTTCCTTCCTTCCTCCTGGTTTCTTCTTCGTCTTTGGTCAGCCTTTTCACGCTGGTGGATGGTCCACTTTTGCAATTTTTGTCGTACTGTCTTTCTTTGTTTCTGGCCCCCCACATTCCTTCCGAGATGGTGTTGGCACTGATCCAGTTGGCATCTAGGTTGGCCACCGTGTTCATCCAGTCTTCAATGGTGACCAGTTCCTTTCCGGTGAGTGCTCCGCGGAGGAGGGGGGGTCGGATTGCCTTTTGATAAACCATGATCATGGCTTCGTTGTTGATGCCGCTTTTCCCGGCATCTAGCATAAACCTCGAGTTGAATGCCACTGCATTTTCTCCTGGTTCCATCCTCATTTTCATCAAGGCGGCCGAAGCCGTTCCTTTGACATTTGCTGTTCTGAAACTGGCTGTGAATGTTTTCATAAAATCTGCCCATGTGGGGTAGGCGTTCTTGTCTTTGTATTCGGTCATCTTGGCTTCACTCCACGAGGCGGCGGATCCGTCCTTCATGTAGCTGAGAGCCACGTACACCTTTTTCTTGTCAGAGGTATAAATGGTGTCGTTGATGTCAAAGTGTAAGTCAGTGGATGATATCCATCTTTGGGCCTTGTCTGGGGTCCCATCAAAGTCGTCGATTTTCCCAATCATAGTGGGTTTGGGTGTCGTAGCGTTTGACATGGTGTAGGTAGGTGGGGTAGGAGATGGGTTGGGTGCGGTGGGGAGTATCTGTGGTGTGGGAAGGGGTATTGGTTCACCTTCCGCTGCGTATTCTTCGAAGTCGTCTTCGTTGTAGATGTTTTCTGTGGTTACTGGAGGATCGTGTTGTGTTCTGGGGATTAGTTGTGGATGACTTTCCGCGTAGAACTGTAGCCAACATGTTCTGGCTTCGTAGAATGCGTCTGCCTGTTCTCTGGTGTGGAGTCGGGTGATGTCTGGTTGAGGGAAGGGGGGTGGTGCTGCTATCCTTCCTTGTCTGGACGATGTCGGGGGTGTTGCTGTCTGAGTCTGTAAATTGTCTGAGCTTCTTCCTGCTCTCTGAGATCTGGTTCTTGGTCGTTGCGACGTATTGTCGGCTTTTTCTTCCCAAACCTAAATAGGTGGGACTTCTGGTATGGAATACGATTCTTTTGTTACGCACAAAGTGCTTAACAAAGTCTGAGGGTTCGTCGAGTTTGTTCAAAGAGACTTATCCGAAGACAAGTTCGAGGATGTAATTCTGAATAGAGGGATTCCAACGGTTGTTGGTCTTCTTCCGTATGGAAGTCTGATCTTGGAAGTTCTAGCTTTGTAAGCGTGAACTGTGTAGAATCGTATTGGAGAATACTACTACTGTTACAAGCGTATTTATAGAGAAGTAAGTCGGCGATAGGAGTTACGTCCTATCTAGGGTAGGTCTGTCCGTTGAGGACTGAGTACTATACAAAGTAATAGAAGTGCGAGAGGAGCGGAAGTGTATGTGAGGGACGTGAGTCATCGGTCCGATAGTATAACCGATGAGTAAAGAGAAATGAGTAGTCCGTAATAGAGGTAGACAAATTGTAACACACTGCATGTTTAAAATGACCGTCTGGGCACTGCACTACTTCAGGTACTGTTATGCCGGGCTTTAGATCTTGAAGAATGTATGATACTGAGCTGTGAAATGGCTGGTGCCTGAACTTTCAGAACTTGGCATTATTCAAATGTTTTTGTTTAGCTAAAGCCATTTATTAGTGATTTGTACTGAATAGAATCAGATGAGAGACTTACTTTTCGGTATTGAGAGGAACCCTAGTAGGGCCAACACATTTTGATAAGCACGCCGGACACTATTGTGTACATTGCCTATAGAAATATAAATCAGATAATATTTGTTCTGTCCAGTTGCAACAGACACAGTGGTCTTGTTGCTGCCAAGAATAATTGGCACAAACATAGAGCCATGGGTGTTGTCGTCTTGAGAGATGATATCAGCTTGCTTCCAAGCCCACTCACCAGACATAAAGTTCTGATATTGCCATTTACCATTTGCATCATAGTGTTGTACTGGCTTATAGTCAAAATGACCATCAAAGCCTTGGTTTGAAAGCATGTTTTTGACAATTGCATGTGGGCTCTGGGAAAAAACTTTGAATGACTTTGACATCCAAGTTGGGGTGTTTTTTTTTGGAAGCTCGCCATCATACAAGAGTGAGAATGACTGCCACAGTATATCACCAAGAGTAGTTGCATCAATTGTGTTGTAAAGATCAGCTGCATTTGGAAAGGGCATAGAACCATCTGATAACTATTGCTTGATAAAGGATGTGCGCCAGAGGTCCATGACTGTATTGATTTCTCCAGCTGACATCTGATTTTTTTGTATAAAAACTCAGCTGTCTCAAACTCAATACAATCATGAAATGGGGTCCAGTCTGATTGAGATGGAGGTTGCTGTGGTGCTGGGAGTGAACCTGGAGGTAAGTATTCACTGTATTCATTACTAGGCATACCTGTATCATATATTAGTAGAATAAATGAGATTTAAAGAATTAAAAGTACTCACCGTTAATAGAAGGATGATATTCAACTTTGGGACCAAGTAAATGCGGCTGGTCCGTCCCAAAATTTCCTGAATTGTTGGCTTAGATATCCATAGAGTCATCATCAGGAGTAGGTGTGCGGCCTTGGCTTGGAGGCTGAGGTCTCTGTGGATTGAGAAAGGATGGGTGTTGAGTTTGCATATGCTTGGTGAGGCCAGAGCTGTTTCAAAACCAGTGGTTACAGCCTGGAGTTCTGCAATGCAGCACTCCATCTGTGTGGTATTGACAGCAATATGTGTGCATGTAATTGGAGGAGCTATAAAGACATGCTGGAACTTAAACAGAAGATGTTAGTAGTCTACTAGGAAGAAGATTTGAATACAGCCTGTACATGTAATATATAGTGAGCATGCAACACAAACACTTTTTTTTTCAACTAGAGCTTGCTCTTTTCCTTCTGCACGCGCCATAACCACTCAGCATCCCCAATCCCACTTTATCAATATGAGCCGCCCTGTTACTTGTTCAAAAAATGCCAACCAACGCCCCGGTCAAATTGTTCTTGATATGCAAGTCAAACGTCAAAACCGTGCTGAGGTAGCCGAAGAAAAGAAACAGAAAGTCCTGGATGATAGAATGACCAAGTTAGTAATTAGGCAGGCTCTTGCAGCTCTTGCGGAGAGAGAAGAAGTACAAGCCAAGGAGGACCAAATTGCACGGTGTCCTGGTGCCCAAGTGAAGTTAAAAAAGCAAACTGCTCCTCAGCGCCATCAACTCCGTCATAGTGAGAGGGAGGTGACTGTTTCTGACAGTGAAGGGGAAGGGGAAGGGGAAGGGGGATTGTTAGTGGATGGCCAGGAGGAAGTTGAAGGAATGGCCAACCTGTCGCCTCCATCACAGTGTCCTGGTACCCAAGCAAAGCTAACAAAATATCCTGCTCCTCAGCGTCATCATCTCTGTTGTACCAAGAGCCAAGTGATTATTCCTGACAGCAAAGGAGAAAGGTCATCGATCAATATCCAGGTTGAAAAAATTGCTGACCTAGCACCCTCTCCTGTGTCTCAGATCCGAGCCATCCAGACAAAAAAGAGGCAGCTGGTTTGCCACAAGACCATGCACTATGTTGTTCCTGAAAGTGACGGAGGTGAGAAAGAGGATGAGGAAGAAATCAAGGAGAGGCTTCCATCACCTGACATTAACAACTCTGACTTGGAGTTCTGTGAGACGCAACCAAGCACTGGCCCTGAGTACCGCCCCAGGAAAATAGCCATCAATAATGATGACTTGGATATAGAAATCAGCGAAGGTCCAAATACCACAACAGAGGCCAATGACTTACCTGGTAGGAGAAAGGGGAGGGCTAGGCATCATGTTGCAGAAACAAGTGACAAGGAACAGCAGGAAAGAAAGAAGAGGAAAACAAGTGCAAGGGAAGCCATCAGCATGTTGCGAATGCAACTGGACTTGGATACTTGCCACAATCAGATCAAGTCAACCGGTACCAGTGGCAACAGCACGTCTATCAATGGCCTGGGTCACTGGCATCAGCTTTTGCCGGCTAAATCAGAATGTGGGAGGCAGCAATGGGAGGAAGCAAATGTCCTCTGGCAGGTTTGGCACTTTGATATATCTGGCTACAAATATGCTACTAACGACCACAACACTTTTTTACCACAATATTAGGAATGACACTATTGAAGATATGCACCCATCTACTCAGTTCAATGTCCTCAAGGGTTGGGCCTCCGATTTCGCCACTAGTGCCAAATCAAAAAAGAGGGAGTAGTACGCTCATCAGCGGTAACCCGGTAACATTGCGTAGGAACAGTGGAAAATCAAAACTTACATCCACAGCTGCAACCTCAGTGAAGAGCACCTCTGCTGTGTTTGAAGGTAACCTACATGACAAGTTATATCAAGGTGGCGGTTTGGTAGATTCAAATGAAGATGAGGTAGATGAGCGGGCCGCATTGACAGGGAAAAAATGCACTACTTCATTGGTATGTTTTTTTGACTCTGATGGCTAATCTGCTAATTAAATACATTTAGGCTTTGGTCAAAATTGAGGAGGGAACTATTGTTCCAGCACCAAAATGCATCAAGTGTGAGGGCCCAAATGTACGAGTCAAACCAAAAAATGGTGATCTTCCTGAGGGGTGCCATATTGAAAACAAATGGCGCCTCATTTTTGTACCGACATTCCAATGGTGGCTTGGGACATCAGAAAATCCTTGGAATCTCAATGATCCAAAGGTACTGAGATACATTATATCCTGACATCTCTCATACAAGGTTACGCTGTATTCACCAATCTACAATGTGGTAAGCTGCAAGTCATCTTAATTTAGCTACCAATTTATTTTTCCTTCAAGCTTGGTCAACAGATCTATGAATGGCGCAATGGTTTTAGTTCGACTGCACAAGCCATGGTGCAGCACCTCTTCGACACCCAGCCTGCTTTCAAGTCCTATGACACCCGTCAAGGATGTCCTCAATCAATGCTTCAAGGCTTGAACTACATATACAAAGAAGTTGATGCTAATTCTTTGGTTTGTCATTTGTTTATTCAAATTATCTTATAGCATGTTAACTTTTTTTCTTCTTAATCTTTAGAAATAATGGGGAGCTTTCCGTTCCCCGGTTATTTTGCAAACATATGCTTCTCATTTAGATTTGATTGCCGGCACCCTTGATATCCCGGACTTACTAAGTTCAAGTCCACTCTTGACTCACCTAAGGGAAAGAAGTACCCACCGTATGGTGCTCTCGCACGACCTGCTGCTGCTGTAAATACATGTTTATTTTCTTTATTTTTTCTCATTTGTTTTTCTAGGTTGAGCGGGTTCTCATGAAATGGAGCCTGAAAGAGATATCTTAGAAACCGGCTGCAGGTCCTTCGACCCGCAAATCTGATTGCAAGGCTCTTGTTAAGCCCATCACAAAGCTCAACAAGAGCACAGGCAAACAGTCGACTTCACATGGTCACTTTTCTGTCACCAACTGGGGAGTTGCCACAAATATTTATGTTACTTCCATCAAAGCGCTCAGTACCAACACCCTTGAGGATATCTTCAATCAAGTCTCTCAATTATATGAAGTCTGATGCAAAGCGCAAGAATTTGGCTTTGAATGATAGTGAGGGGGACTTTTGTGCACTTATTTTGGATATTTAGGTTTTATCTTACCGCTATTAATCTGGTTCTGACATTTTACGCAGGTATCTTACACATGTTTGTCATCATTTAGCTATGTTTGAGTTGCCGTCTGACAGGACTTTAGTAGCATTTTAATTGTCTTTTTTCCCGATGTTTTTAGCTTCTTAATACACTTTACTTCCTTGTTTTCTTTCAGTTTGTTTTATTTTGTTTTTACAGTCTTATCATTCTCAATACAGCTTGTGCTCTATTTTGTCTTAACCAGCCTTGTGGATACAAAAAAAGACCGAATAAGACCATTCTAAGAATTTGGATCTTCTGATTCGTCTTAGGTATGTGTTATTTTAATCTGCCTTAAATGACGCTTAAGGCACTTTAAGGTAGAAAAAGTAACTTTGACATTTGCTGATATTTCTTGCACTCCTTGCACACACAACAACAAGAGGTTCTACAAAAGTAACCACCTTTATTGTAATGCTGTTGATACTTTGTGCACACACCACAATTATGCATGTGTGCAATGACACCTGCAAACGTAATAAAGCTTCTCTTGGGAGCACCTTGTTGACACATACAGTGCCCACAGGAGGATTAATGATCACAAGAAGCAGATCACAAGCTAGAGCTTGAGTCATCCTTCCCATGTTTCCTGCTACTCCTAACGGATACAGTGCATGTGGTGGATTGTTGGCCCTCACTAGTGTGAGATCAGATGGGTGCTTTGGGTGCAGGCATATTGTACATCTATGTGGTGTGGGTTTTAGGTATTACAATACCCTAAAGTTTGTATACTCTGGTGCACACAGAGAGTATTACAACCAAAAATTTTATACTCTGGAAGACAGAGAGAGCAAGCAAAGAGAAGTGAGTGAGGGAGAGTAGATAAACTCCATTAGGGTAGCACCTGTCAAGCAACAAATACAAAGTTATATAACAACAACTATTATCAGGCCAAGTTCTTGAGGCAAGACATTGGAGCTGAGTGAAGTTGCTAAAAATTATTGGTATAGGCGTGGATCCAAACTAATATTGAACTGGGGAAATGATACATTGAGTATCTGTAGTGAATAGTGAAAGTCAGACTGAAAGAAGAAAGGAATAAGAAAGTGGTTTGACCAGATAACTAATCAATAAAAAACAAATAAAAAAGTGGTACAATCTACCATAATTATTAATCATGTGGGAAGAATCCTTAGTAAAGGATATACAATTGGCTGGATCAGTAATCCCATGAGAAGGTGCTGAGTTACAGTCTATATTGCTGATTAATCTCTTACCAAAGTATTCCCGTGCATAGCTCTTCATTGGAGCTATGCCATTGGGATATCTTTTGGTGAGCAGGAGGAAATCCTCCTATGTTATAAGTATGACAAAATAAGAGTGTGAAAGGAAAATAACAAGAACAAAAAATGAGTAAGAGAGTTCCAGCAGTCACTTCTAGTCTGATAGCTAGAGGAGTAGTCAGAAGGGATTGAAAGAGCATAGCAGGAAGGTAATTAGATAATTTGATTCCTTATAGGACCAAGTTAGTTGAGGGTAATTAGCAGGAGGACTTGCTGAGGGGTCTTCTTGATCTATTGGGGTATATATACTACTATAGACTGTTTATACATGTGGTGGCTAATGATGACATAGGTCATAGCCCTTGTGACCAGCTTCCACCATGTGTTACAATTGACATACCAGCACCTACTTACGCTTCACTTTTTGTACTTTTACTTTTTATTTTCCAAGTCACATGACCAGTCATGTGACCATTTACTTTACTTTACATTTTCGACTTTTCATAGTCACATGACCAATCATGTAACACATCACCTGACCAGTGTCTAGGCTCACTATGTGACTGGTCACATACTAAATATCAGACTTTAAACTTTATTTACAACTGTACAGTACCTCATGTATTTTAGTATATATACAGGAGCAATACATGGGGAGGGACTCAGGGAGTCCTCCTGTTGTCTACCAACAACTAACTCGGTTGTACCTTCAGGGGCAATCCCACCTTCTCCTCTTACTCTGAGTGTTGCATCAGGAAAAACCCTTTTGCTATATAGCACTATATAGCCACCACTTATATATATAAATGCATTTATAGAAACTATAGTACTATCAGTGCAATCATAGCTCTTATAGCTCTTATAGCACAGTAGTAGGCAAAATTTTAACCAAGGGGAGAAGTATGTATAATTCCCTCAAACTCTGGATTAATCTAATAAAGTTGTTCAATAATAGAAAGAGGCCAAAAGTGTTTGGAGTCAAGTATATTATTATAGGCAAGATACTATAAGTGCTCTTATAGCCTATAGCAGCCTACATAGCTCCTATAGCTGTGAAGGTCATAGTTATAATATAGTCCAAGGTGCTTAAAAGGGCTAATAAATCATCCAGTATTAATTAATTATGTAGCCTGTATTAGTGAGATAGTAGTTTGTATCTTTGATATTTATAAAATAAGAATAATGATTTATTCAAATATAAGTAGTGACAATGAGTAAAAAAATAATCTAAGTCCATGAAAGGTCAATATATAAAACCTGTATGATATATTTTATAAGCTTTTATGGTGTAGTGGATAAATGTAATGTGTGGTGATAGGTTGCTTAGTCACCCAAAAGCTGACTAGCAGGTTGAGAGTGCAAATCCTGTCTGTGTTAATTTTTTTTTATCAGCCACACAACAATTTCCAACATCTATAAGAGCATTTATAGAGCTATATGAGGCTCTATAGATGGCAGAGGTTCTATAACAGGTTTGACCACTATAATAGCTTTATGAGTACTTATAGTGCTATAGAGCTTTATATAGCTACCCCCATTTTTCCTGATGTGTTTGTGCTCCAGTGCCCCAAGACTGTGTCTTGTTGGTGTTGTCACACCATGTGAGAGAATTGTAACTAAAAATAAAAGGAAGCTGTGCAGTATGAGAAAGTGAAAGTCCAAGTGTAGTCTGAAACAAAAGAAAAGTGCTGCATGGCATAAGTGTCCAAAAGAGAAAGAAGGTTGATGCAGAGACTGAAAGTTAGAAGTCCAAAAATTGTGTATTGTAACAGCAAGAAACTCAGAAAAAATGATGATAGGAATATGTGAGTTGGTAGACTCAGATTTAAGAGCTAGTTGGTTGACGGTATTCAATGGGAGGGCTTTCTGAGGAGTCTCCATCTATTACAAGAGTATATATACCAAAATATATGTGATACTGTAAAGTCAATATAAATAAAGGTAAATGGCTAGTAAGTGTATTATTATATTCTATATGATATCACTGATAAGTAAGTAAAGTGTCTGATGTCATAGCATGTGACCAGTCACATGACTTTTAAAAGTAAAAGTTTGAAAATAAAAAGGCCGGAAATACTGTCGTAACATTGGGTGCTAAGAACAACCTAGTTCTATTTGATAGCTATTGTGGCTATTATAGTGCTATACAGTTGACTATCTCATAGTGCATAACACTGGTGACTAACCTAGCTTATGCATTATGATATTGTATGCATGACCGTATCAGTCACATCATGTGACCCTCATGACACTGTGTGACCACCAACCAAAAAGTTACACACTCCAGATTGGTGATGACGTTGCAGTGGGCGACTGCAGCATATAACAATTCATTAGTTATGCAAAAAGTATAGTACTGTAGTGTCAGACATCCGAGATTGAGTGCCCCAAAATTTGTTTGTTTGTGAGACGTGAACTCAAGCTGCCGAAAGTGGCCACGAAGTTTTTGTAGCTGCTGCTGGAGTGTGACAACCTGAAGGCATTTGGTGTTTGAGTGCTGTATGCAGAGCCGCTCCAGCTTTTCACATAGCTCCATCCCTTACCATGATGTCACCTCAATTATACTGTCCAAATCCTCCTGTTCTTCACTATCACAGACCTCACCTACAGCTACTCCATCCTCTGCTGCCACCACTGCAGCTCGAGCTGCTGCAATAATCTCCTCGTCTCCACCCAGAAATCTGTATGGTGACTCTACTATTTCCATCTCCTCAATTGGATTCAAAAGCTCTTCAATTGTCAGCCGCGTTCCCCATATCCTCTTGCGCTGGTGTAGCTCATCAATTGATTGCATCAACTTGGACTCAGCAATTTCGAGCTTGGGAATAGAACATTTGTTGGATTGTGAAGTCGAGATGATGGAACATGGAATTGGCTGCATATAAGTGGTCGCTTTTTCTGTAAGATTATTGAGGGCTATCACTGCAGTGGTCGTGTCATCTTCCGCTGGAAAAATTGCATCAAACGTGGGCTTCCAGTCCGCCTCATTGTAGCGGGTGCCCAGATGCTCTTGCAATGCTCTTATAGCAACTGGCATTGTGGCAATTGTGGCATCCACATATCCCTTAACAATCTTCCAAGCACCAGCATCACTCGTTCCGCTCTTCAGTGCACTGGGGGTTGGTGGCCTTTTTGTCAATGTCAGTAAGTAACATTGTGCAACAATTCTTTTTGTGCAATGTACCCTTTTAACTCAAAAGCATGGTGCCAACAGTTCCTTATTGTCTCAGTGCTAACAGCTACCCATGCTTCATTGGCCATGAGCATGACCTCGAGCAGATTGATATTATAAATGTCGTCTTCACCAGCATTATCTAATTCAATTGCACGAAGAAAAAATGCACGGCAGTAATGGGCCTTGAAGCATCAGATGAGCATCAAGGGGTTGCATAAAGGAAGTCATGTTGGGCTCAAATGTCATGATACAAATGTTCGTCGGTTGATATGAAATACTGTGCCCTGCAAAGTTATCAAGCCACAAGCAGACTTTTTGATTCTTCTCTCTGAACCATGTGTCATAGTGTTTGATCCATCTATCATATAATCTTGTGAGTTTCATGCATTGATGAACATGTTTAACTTACTCCTCAAAATACTCTGCTGTCATCCATGCTGTTTTGTTGTTGCGATACCAGAAACATGTTGCACTGGTGTCTTCCAACCAAAACAGTGAGGTCTCTTTGATTTCCCAATGAACAATATGGGCCATTTCTCAGTTCCAGTTGCATTGCACATGAATCCAACTGTAATGCAAGATTTATTGCCTTTTTTCCTAGATATCTGCTTCAAAGCCAAGCCTTGGTCGGGAGGAGCACTATGGTAGCAAAATTTCAGAATTTGTCTTATGTTGGATCACAGATCAGTTGCCTTACAGTCCAAACTGTAACAACCAAGAGTTAGTTACTCTGGCGCACACAGGAACACACTATAAAGCAAATGAAGAGGGAGTGGTTACTCCTTAGGATGCAGAGAGTTTGTTGGTATACAACAGGAGGACTCGCTGAGGAGTCTTCTGGATCTATTGGGGTATTTATACTAATACAGAGTGTTTGTACCTATGTACTGTACAGTTTGATAGTGACAGTGGCTGATGATGTCATGGGGCCTAGCCCGCATGGCCAGCTCCACTGTGTGAGGGAGTTGTGTCTATAATAAGAAGAAAGGCAATGCGGCGCGAGAAAGAGGAGTTTGGACAAAAGGGGAAATGCCGCGTGGCACCGTGTGTGAAAGCTAAAGTACAAGGTTAAAGCGGAGAATAAAAGTAAAGGGAAGGTCCGAAAATTGTGTTATCGTAACATAAACAGTCCTGTTTCATAAAAATTCAGGTTATCTTCAGGCTAATACTGCTCGTAGATCTCAAGAATTCTTTCACATTCTTTAATGACAACCTCCAGGTAACAGATCCAGCTTCTCCGTGCCGTCTGTATTCCTTCAAATTGTACCTAATACAGCTGTAAGATTACATCGTGACAGCGACATCATGATGGAAACAACTCACACTTTACACAAGTTAGGAACTCAGCCATCACTCTTCATCCTCTCTTCGGGAGGAACATTCATGGCTTCCTCAAACTTCTCGCGCTTTGCCATGAGCATAGGACCTGTAATGTACTCCCTCTTTTCTTCCATGTGCTTTGTCCACATGAACAGTGACTTCTTGACATCTGGTCTTGTCACTACTCGGACTTTTTTAGATGAGAGCGCCATGGGAGTTGGTGCCAGGTGTTCTTTATCGTCTTGTCTCCCCTTGGCAGACAGGTGATGAGAAAGTGAAGACTGTGTAAAGACAAGAGCACCTTCAGCCCGGTTTGTGAAGTGTTTTACCACATCCTGCTGTGTGATTGGCTGATTGTTATCATGATAGGCAACAACAGTAAGCCAGTCATGTAATGTCAGATGACTGTGAGCATGTTTCGGTGCATTGACAGCTGATGTCTTGGGGGTATTCTTGCCTTGCACCCGAGGTTTTGACTTTTTGTAAGGGGTTGTCTGAGCACAAGGTTTACACTTGCGCTCGGGGGGCATGATGGGTATCGGACAGGATGGGGGGCCATTTTCTGGCTTTTCTTGTTGTTGCAAAGGGCTGCCTTGACCCTGTCTATGCGTATAACTGTGTGATTCTCCCCAATATAGTAATGCTAACCCCCCAAATCTCTATACACTATCCAATGTGAGATTTTTGTGCATGAATAGTGGGCACCGATGTGGTGACCAGCCCCCGCTATGCATTGTGAGATAGTCAACCGTATGTGGAAAATAATGGCTATAGTACAGTGCCGTCCAGTTTTATTGCTCTGGATGCAATGCCCATGACTAGATTAGTTGTTTGATAGTCCATTTTGCCATCATTGTCTCATTCACCCATCATATTAACGGGAAAGTAGACAAAGTGTCACTTAGGGAAACCATACTTGAAATCCACTCTCGTTCTAATGACAGCGGAAGGACCAGAGACTAAGGCTTTTATTATGTTTCAAGCTTTACCATGCCTAATATATGTCGCACTCTGGTCCTATCCATTTCGATAATGATGCCACGTTTTTTGGCGGACCCTTTAGTTTGACTGTACTACATCATTTTGTAATGAAGTTGTACTGTGGCAAAACCGGCGGTTACAGGTCCAGGTCTGCCCCAGGGGTCATAGTATACTTATATAAAATCTGTATAAATCATTAGCAATGATATTTGTTTATGCACTGCTGATTACAAAGCTCTCTGAACCAACAACTCAGACATAACTGTTTTGCAAAAGCCATCTGGACTATGAATCTGTCACAGAACAATTATTCGTAGACGAATCACATTCCATATCAGACATTGACTCATCAGAAAAACTTAGACATGTGATATTATCGATGAAGCCAAGCGTGTTGGTTCCCAGGCATTACTGCTTCCAGGCTGATAGTACCATTTTGTTTGCTCTAGCAGATTTGTTTGCGGCCTCTAACTTGTTAACCATGCTCAGCCTCAGCGCTCATGCCTGATCTTACAATACTATAGAGTGGTACTCCTGAGAAGGTGTCAGGCTAGGCCTTCGGTATATATATATGCATATAAGGTACAGGTAGGTTGTTTTGTTACTCCGAGTCCTCATTGTCACCAGAATGTCTGGCTCTAATGAATTGAAGAACCCCCATACCCCCTTGGCATATTTATCGCTAGATGTGGCCAATCAAGTTGAAGTTGCCAGGTATCTTTATGCCGTCACTCTTGGTGTAAGTCCCAGTTGTTTCAGGTTGCACATTGTTGGAGACCCACCGTCTGACACTTGTTACAAGGCATATGTGTGGGACATTGCAACCAACTTGGATAACAACTATAAACTCCTTGTCCACCACCGGGTTGGTTTTCCCACTATTGCTTATTGGTTATCAAGGTAATCTGTCTGCTTGAGCACATTGCTACCCATAGTTTTCTAAATCATAACAAGTTAGAGTTTTCACCCTGAGCTGGATCCTTACTATGCTTATTTTCCAAGGTAAATGTCTTTATTATGTCATTCAGCTCCTGTGCTAATATTGCTTTTCACTGTAGCTGGTTTCATACCAAACTGCCAGGCACTGCAGATTGCTATGGGTGTATGTCTTGTTCTAGCACAATCAGCAACATCCTTGCTTTTTCTTCTACAGACTGTGGCAATATGGCATGGGAATCACCAAACTTGTGCTATGTTCATCGTTTTATGGGTGGCTGTTGTTGGGTCGTCACTGTCAGTGCCCATAAGCACTGTTCCTGGAAATATAGGTCCAACACAACAATGTATTGTCCACAAAGTTTACGGATATGCTGAGCTATTTTCAGCGGTAGCGATGCTGAATGATAGTGTGATACCTTTTGCCATATCATATCGCATCCTCACGCGCTGCACATTAGAAAAATCATTTAAATCCCAGATAGGGGCTTTTCTTGATCAAGGCTCTATCCCAAAACTCTCGTGCTCTTCTGCAAGGTGGTCTACAATATTACGTGTAAGTTTACTCCCATCATTCAAATCTTAGAAATTTGTTCATGTACAATCAGCATAGCGGTTTTGGGAATATCCTACTCCTGGTACTTTTAGTGATATCTAGTGTCCCTGTTGTTTATCAGGGGATGTGTACAGTGCCTATCATGGCCCTTATTAATGCCATGGGATGCATAGTCTTTAGAAAGATTAAGTTTGGTTTAATTAGTTCTGATGGAACAATATATGTAATAACCAAGAGTTAGTTACTCTGGCGCACACAGGAACACACCATAAAGGTAGTGATGAGGGAGTGGTTACCCCTTAAGCTGCAGAGAGTTTGTTGGTATACAACAGGAGGACTTGCTGAGGAGTCTCCTTGATCTATTGGGGTATTTATACTAATACAGAGTGTTTGTACCTATATACTGTACAGTTGATAAAGGCAGTGGCTGATAATGTCAGAGGGTGCAGTCCGTGTGACCAGCTCCACTGCATGAGAGAGTTTGAGTCTAAAAGAAGAATAAAGGCAGCGCTGTGCGAGAAGGTGGAGTTAGAACAAAAAAGGAAAGTGCCGTATGGCACGGAGTGTGAACTATAGTAAAATGTTAAAGCGGAGAATGAAAATTAAAGGAAAGGTCCAAAAATTGTGTTATTGTAACACTACCCCCCCTTTAAGGCTCAACTTCCAGGCTCGACCAAATACCGGAGGTGGTAGTTAAATTTTCGGGCATAGTTTGAAAAAGGGAATTAAAAAGTTTTGAATCTATGCCTCTAAGCTTCCTAGGAACTGAGGGGTTCTTAGAGTAAAATTCGCAAACAGTGTTGTGGGAATTTTCCAGATGGGCTTCTGGTTCCCACGTTCTGTCTCGTATCCATAGCCCTTCCATAGGACAAGGAACTCTAATTTGCCACGCTTCAAGCGTGCATCCACCACCCGTTCGACTTCAAACTCTTCTTCACCTTCCTGGGTGACTACAACCGGTCCGGGCTAGTCTACACGCTGTCCCGGCAGCGGCTTTTTGTAAGGTTTCACACAGCTAATATTGACCGTGAGTACTACCCTCATCCGTTTTGGGAGTTCCAGCTCCACTGTGTTGGGTTTGACTTCCTTAATCCGGTAAAGGCCAATCCACTTTTTGGTCAGTTTTCTAGACTGCCGATCTTTTAACTTTAAGTGGTCAGTATCTAACCAGACCAGGTCGCCGACCTTGTAGTCAGGGGCCTTAGAGTGTCTACATTCTGCCCTGTCTTTCATCTGCTCTGCAGTTTTAAATAGCGCCTTGCACGTTTCGTCCAAGACAGATTTCATGTCCTTGGCCATGTGCCCAGCAGCCTTGTTCTTGCTTTTGCCAGGTTCTACACCCATTCTGGGGAGGTATGATCTCGTTACCTTGAATGGTGCCTTTCCTGTAGCCGACGACTGTTTAATATTGTCTGAGAACTGGGCTATCTTTAGCCACTTGGCCCAATCTGTCTGCCTGTCATTAATAAATATACGGAGGTATTGCTTCAACTCCTGGTTGAGTCTCTCCGTTTGTCCATCAGTCTGCGGATAGAACACCGTTGATAATTTAGGTTTGATGCCCAGCATCCGGCATAATTCTTTCGTAAACTCGCTAGCAAATTGTGGTCCCCTATCTGAGATGACCATTTATGGTAACCCATGGGTAGACCATACAAAATCTTTAAATAAGTCTGCCATATCAGCGGCAGTAATAGTTTTGTTGGTGGGTATGAACACTACTTCTTTGGAGCAGTGATCTACTACCACCATTACTGAATTATACCTGTTTGATTCAGGTAGATCCGTCGTGGAATCAACCAATATATCCTGCCAGGGACCAGCTGGTATCGGATTTGGCATTAGTTTACCGGCCGGCGGTTGATGAGAATTCCTTGCCATGGCACATCTCAGACAGGATTTTAATTATTCCTGTACGTCTTTGACCATGTCAGGCCACATATAGTTTCTGGAGATCAACTCCATTGTTTGTTGCCACCCAGGGTGCCCAGCCACTGGGGTGTCATGATGTCTATCTATTACCTTGATCCTTGCGGACTCAGGCACATAGATTTTGTCTTTAAAATAGAAGAGCCCGTCTTCCCATAAATAGTTTTTATTGCTGTCAAGGCGCACCTTCACTTCTGAGGAGATGTCTTCCTTGAAGACTTCCAGAAGACCTAAATCTTGCCCAATTCTAACATTGGCAACCTTTGATTGGTCTATCAGGGTGACACCTTTGTTGTCATCCTCGATGCCGTTGGCATGATCCTCTCTTCTGGACAAAGTGTCCGCTTTCCCCATAGAGCTTCCAGGCTTATGAATTAATTAATAATTAAACCTTGACAAGTATACCGCGTAGCGGGCGGAGTCTTGGGCCGTCATAAAATACTCCAGATTCTTATGATCGGTCCAAATTTCAAATTGGTGTCTAGCACCTTCTGAGTAGTGCCGCCAGTACTCTAAGGCTCTAATGATGGCTAGCATCTCTTTGTTGTAAATTTGATAGTTGCGCTCCGTAGGCGACAAACTATGCGATAAATAGGCACAAGGCCTCCAAAGATTGTCAGGGCATTTAATTGACAAAACAGCCCCAGTAGCAAAATCAGAAGAGTCGGTTTCTAGCCAGAACTCTTTGTCTAATTCTGGAAATGCTGATATGGGCGATGTTGTAAATGCCTGTTTAAGCTTATCAAAAGCTTCTTGTTCTTTGGTGCCCCAGTGCCAAACAATGTCCTTTTTAGTGAGATCGTTCAACGGTCTCGTGATTTTTGCAAAGTTTTTGATAGACCTTCGGTAGAAATTACCCAAGCCTAGGAAGGCCCTAACTCCTTTGACGCAAGTAGGTTCTGGCCAGTCCAATATAGCTTGAACTTTCTCAGGATCCATCCTGATTCCGTTGTGGCCTATGATCATACCGAGGAAGTCTACTTCCTTCACTTTAAAATTACATTGTTTGGGTTTGACAAATAGGTTCCGTTCCTGTAAGCGTCGAAAGACTTTTTGCACGATCTTGTCATGCTCAGCCTCATCGTCCGACTTCGTAAATATTAACAAATTGTCAATGTAAATGACGACACAGTAGTCCATATCTGTAAAGATCTCATTCATCATGCTCTGGAAGGTCGCCGGTGAATTGGCCAACCCAAAGAACATAACAAGGGGTTCAAAGGATCCTCGGTGGCACGTGAACGCGGCCTTCCAAGCATCTTTTTCTTTGATTCATACATTATTGTACCCCCATCTGAGATCCATCTTTGTCAACATTTTAGCACCAGCCAACTTGTCTACTAGCTGACTGATCAAAGGCAGCGGATATTAACCCTTCCTAAGCTGCTCATCTATGAAACTAGAAACCTCATCTCTTTCTGGAGCAGAGAGTGGTATCATATGTCCTTTTCTTGGTTTAAAGGTGTCCTTCAAATCTATAGCATGGTCCCAAGGCTTAGCCTCTGGGAAGCGCTCTGATTTATGTTTTGAAAAGACTTTCCAGAAGTCATGGTACCCGGGAGGTACGAGCCTCTTAATCTTTTCCTCGGGTTTTACCTTGTCATCATCATCATTAATCTTTTCTAAAGATCCAAGCTCATAAACGTGACCAGCGTTTATTTTTTCAAGACACTCATTCTAACAGACGTGACTTGGTTTAACCAAGTTCACACACTCCTGAGGACAACGTGACAATGTGACAACCCCTGTCTGCCAGTTGATCTCAGGATTGTGTTTAAATAGCCAGGTCCAGCCCAAGATTAAATTAATCTTCCCTAGTTGAGTAGCTTCAGCGGTGACTCGTTCTCTGTGTCCTTGGTACTCGACAACAAAAGAACATTTGTGTGTGATACAGCCACCCACGTTAAGCGTACCGTCAATGTTATAGATGGGAATAGATACATCTAATTTTACAAGGGGGAGTCCAATTTGCTCCGCCCAGACCTGATCTATGAAGATTCCGTTAGCGTCTGAATCAAGCAGTACACTGCTTGGGTGTGCTATACCCAGGGCAAGGTTTTCCACACCAATGTCTACACAGATCTCCTTTTGGAATAAGTATGTGCGCATCAATACATGCCTTGTGATTTTGTTGGGAAGTGGCTCTGAACAAGAAGAACTATCAAAAGAAACATGTCTCTCTACTATATTTTTATTTTTATTTTTACCAGAATTAAGCATCCTAGTGTTTGTCTCGCTGAGGCCACGCTCCAAGGGAGACGCTGGTGCAGCCGTAGTATCATAAATATTGCATTCACAATGCTTCATACAAGTACATACTTCTGACAACAAAATAAAAAATTTATTTACAAATTGGGGAGCCACCCCTTTCTTTCCGTTATTGCTTGTGCAACACCCCGGAGCAGGGGCCACTTTGTTGTGGTTTACCTCATTGTGATGGGGAGCGAAGGCACCCAAGTGACCTACACTCCAAACTCTTTTCCCTGAGCCTTCATCTCAGCGACCTGCTGGTCGTAAAAGAAGGCCCGGATCTCGTTGTAAGAACAACCGGCCAGAGTATTGAGCCGATTGTCCGGTTTTTCCGTTTCTAATTGGCGTGCCTGAAGCCCTTGGTTATTTTTTTGTTGAGTGGCCTGCGCTCCATTTGGACACTTTTGGGCTATGTGCCCCTCCTGCTCACAGTTGTAGCAGTTGAATCCGCGCCTTTGTCCGCCATGGACCGTGTTGATATCGTGGGCCCGCCACCTTGGTGTATTTTGTAGAGCTCTATGGCTCTACCTATCTTTCAAACCTCCTCCGCTGCTTCAGAGAGATTCTCACTTCTTGTATCCTGCAGGTAAAGCTGTTCTGCAATGTGGGGGTTCATATTGCGTTCCAGCAGCTCCACTGCATGTTCTTTACCAAGACCCCCTTGGATGGAGAGGGCCAGGAACCGGGTTACAAAATCATCTGTCCTCATGTTGCCTTGTTTGGGGGGGCAGATTTGCTGATGCGCCCAGTCATGCTCAGCTTGCGGTTTGAAATATCTTTCGATCTCTACCTTCAGATCGTCCCAGGTGGGCCACACTCCCGCGGTGTAGCATTCCTGCATTCTAACTTGGGTGTATTAACCCGCCACAGGTCCTTTTAGTCGGGATAGCACTGCCGTTGCCACTTCAAAGTCGTCGGCAAATGCAACCCAGTTTACTTTAACCCAGATTTGGAGCTTGATCCACCACTCGGCAAATCTCGCTCTGTCTCCTTTGAAGGCGCCAGGGTCAGCGACGACTTCGACTTTCTTATTGAACTTTTTCTCTACCGAGGGGGTTGCCACAGGGGGATTCGCCTGCAGCTTGGTGAGTTGCGTGGTCAATGCCAGGATCTGTGCATGCATGTTGTACAACAGAGCGTTGATGTCTTGTTGAGGTTGCGACAACATGTCGACTTGTTCTCTTGTAAAGTATAGTAAAAGATGTAACTGGGGGTCCCTGCTTGCTATCTGCGGATCTACCTCTTCCCAGCTGAGTATCGGATCTCAATCTCCGACTACCCACACTATAGTATTTGAAATTGTATATATAAAGGTATTTGTAATAAACCCTGGTCCGAATAATTGTCAGGGGGTGGCCCGCTTGTTAAGCTGTCAGCCCTTCTCCAGACTGGCGGAGGCAAGTGCCCGGCCTGGTCAGAGGAAAGAGAAAGTGAAGTTTTGTATTCTAAAACTAATCAACAGTGGTTCCACACCAACTGCTGAGCTAAGGTACTCCCCTTCACGCTGCGGGCCACGTATCAAAGGTATTGTTTCTTCTCCCAAAGCACTATAAGGCCGTCGCTAGGAGCACACCTATCTGCTATGCGGGATATTCCTAAACAATAACCAAATCTCCTTCATCCTGGAATCCAGGTTTGCACAATGTGCGAGAGAGTAATGAGAGCAAGTCCTAATGTAACAACCAAGAGTTAGTTACTCTGGCGCACAACTAGAACAAGCAAAGAGTAGAGATATGAAAAAGGGATCACCCCTTAGGTTTCAACAAGTTAGTTGTGAGGATACAACAGGAGGACTTGCTAAGGAGTCTCCTTGATCTATTGGGGTATTTATACTAACACAGAGTATTTGAACATGTGTACTATACAGTTGATAAAGGCAGTGGCTGATGATGTCAGAGGGCACAGCCCATGTGACTAGCTCCACTGCGTGAGAGACTTGTAGCTAGAAATAAGAGGAATGGCAATGCGGCGCAAGAAAGAGGATTTTGAACAAAAGGAAAGTGCCACATGGCACAGTGTGTGAAAACTACAGTAAAAATTCAAAGCGGAGAATGAATATTTAAAGGAAAGGTCTGAAAATTGTGTTATTGTAACATTACACTTCACTTTTTTGTACTTTTACTTTGACTTTTTCCAAGTCACATGACCAGTCATGTGACACATCACCTGACCAGTGTCTAGGCTTTCATATGACCGGTCACATGCTAGACATCGGACTTTAAACTTTATTTACAACTGTACAGTACCTCATGTATCTTAGTATATATACAGGGGCAATACATGGGGAGGGACTCAGCGAGTCCTCCTGTTGTCTACCAACAACTAACTTGTTGAAACCAAATGGGTAGCCACTCCCACTTCTTCCTCTTTTTCTGAGTGTTGTTTTCATTGTGCTCCAGTGCCCCAAGACTGTGTCTTGTTGGTGTTGTCACAGTAGTACTCCTAGCCAGCCAGCACAATAGGTGAGGACTAGTAGCTGAGATCTTGTAAACTAGCTCCAAGTCCCATCAGTGCCTGGAAATATTAATAGACACTTTAGTCAGGATTATACCTCATCATGAGAATATGGTTCCCAAACATGTGTGATACTACCTATTATTAGTACATTTTCTCACCTGCTGATTAATTCCTGAAGTTGTATGATAGTTGTTCTTTTCTTATTGGATAGTTTCATCCTCAGACCTCTTTTCCTTTTATTCTATTTCTGGTCTGAGAGATAAACAATTAACTATAAAAACCCTACATACTCATCATGAATGGACATCTTATGACCATAACTGTTGTGTTTCCCCAAATAGCAAGACCCATTACAGATTCATTTTATCAGTGACTTGGAGCACCATTATCATTCAGACTTCCATTTCTTCTATTATATCCTTGCCTATATATCATCATCGTACATTGGTTAACAGAAATGATCCCTGCATTAAAAATGCCTATGGTACCCAAAGGTAAGTTACAATCACTTGCTATCCCTCAGCCACAAGAAGATAATGGAGAAGAAGCTAGTGGATTAGACATGTTGATAGATGATGAGCATATGGAGGAGGCAATTGGCGGAGTACTACAGGAGTTGCAAGAGGATCTTTTTCATTCATTCCAATTGCACATTCAGACATTATTGATGATGGGGAGAACACAGCAGGCCCATCCCTTCATCAGGACTCAATGGTCCTACATGGCGATGAGGGTGAATGTATGGAGGTGGAACATCCCACAGCTGGAAAGGCCATAAGCATGGGCGAGACTTTACATCAGAGGTGGAGAAGAGAATTCATTGCAGCAGGTGGGGATGGTGAAGATGTGGGTGAAGCTTCAGACCCCAAGTTCTTCCCCTTTGCCTCGGAGATGGATTGGAGAGTAGCATGTTGGGCAATTCAAGATGGTATAGGGCACCAGTCTTTTAATCGGCTGTCAAGTATCCCAGGTGACTGTGATTTTATGATTTCTATGAATCTTGCTTATACTATTGCCAGGTTATGGAGAAGCTGGGGCTTTTTTACCATAATATACGTGGATTACACAAGATTGTTGACTACAGCATACCATCTAGGGCTGAATAGAAATCAACTATGATATCTTTTCCTGATACTCCAAATGATACACACCTTATCCAGTATAGAAATGTACTTTAAGCTATCAGGACTCTCCTTGGGAACCCTGCACATGCCAAACATATAGTCTATTGACCAAAAATGATTTTCACCAATGCAAGGAAAGAATCAAGGATTTATCATAAAATGTGGACGGGGAAATGGTGGCATGCTATTCAGGTGAGCATGGTTATGTATCTCCCACTTACAGTGACTTACAGAATCTTTGGAATAGGCTCGTCTACTATCTGGGGCAGCCTTAGCTCCTGTTATCATTGCAACAGACAAAACCCAGCTCATGCAATTATCTAATTCTAAATCAGCCTACCCTGTCTATCTCACACTTGGCAACATACCCAGAGCTATACGTCGTAAGCCAAGCCAACATGCTTGCATATTTATAGGATATCTGTCCATCAACAAAGCCACTGGATCTCAGCTTACTGAAAAGGAGAAGCCCTCAAGGGTTTAGCGCCTTTTTTATGAGTTGATGCAGATTATACTAGAGCCTTTGAAGAGAGCTGGTATCGAAGGAATTAATGTCACTGGGGGAGATGGTGCTATAAGGAGAGTCCATCCTATCTTGGCTTGCTACGTTGCAGCTTATTCAGAACAATGTTTTGTGACATGTACAAAGTACGGCATATGTCCCAAATGAAAAAGACTTGCTTCTGAGCTTTCAGGATCTACTGCTGGGGAGCCACGTACACAGACCTGGACCAAGGAAGTTATTCATGGTGCTGAAGTTAATGCAAATTCCTTCAATCAATTTCAGGAGAGGTGCAAGGAAAAAAAGGTCCCTGGTGGTGTTTACAAGCTATTCTGGCTCAACTTCCCTCATTGCGACATTCATTTATCTGTTTCCCCCAACATTCTCTATCAACTATACAAAGACATCTTTGTGCATATGGTGAACTGGTGCAAGAACCTTATGGATCCCAAGGAGCTTGACCAGCACATTTCCTCCCTTCCTGCTTATTATGGTGTTCGTCATTTCAAAAATGGAATCTCTACAAAATACCCAGGAGCGCTATACTTGCATACTGATCCCTCTTGGACTTCATCCAGATAGCACAGTATCCCACTCATGATGACACCACTCTGGGCTACCTTTCAGATACTTTGGACACTTTCCACAAATATAAAAATATATTGGTACGGCTCAACATAAGAGAACACCTGAATATCCCTAAATTCCACTCTCTCCTCCACTACTGCCAGTTCATCACATGGTTTGGAACCACCAACAATCACAATACTGAGATGTTTGAGCGCTTTCATATTGACTTTGCTAAAGAAGGTTGGAGGGCCTTTAATAAAAGGAATAAGGCACCACAAATGGTGACATGGCTTCTGCATCATGAAAGGGTGGTTACTTTCCAAAGCTATCTGAAAATGACCATGGATAATGAAGAAGACAAATTCCCTCACTCCAAATTTCAAGACCAAAGACATGTTGTTGCCAAATATCCTAATAAATATCAGCAAAACCTTTTGGACATCATGAAGAAGCATCAGTGTCCTGGAATCAGCACTCGAAGTCTTTCTTAACAGTAAACTAACTCACCCAAATACACGTTGTGAAACCAGATTACTACCCCTTCCATTTCAAAACCTCAATATCTTCCATGGCTTCAAATTTTGTTTAGATAGCCTAGGCAATGATGTCAACCTGGAGAATGACCAGGTAGATTCTGTCAAAGCCAGGCCAAGTGGAAAAAACAATCTGTTGTCACAGTTTGACACAGTGGTTGTGATGAATTCTCCTGATTGTGAGGCTACAGGCATAAAAGGTAATGTTTCTCTTACCCTATAGCCACAAGCACATCTAATACTAATGACTGTATTCAAGGAACAAGAATTGGGAGATTGAGAGTAATCTTTAAACTACCTAAAACACTATACAGTTTCCACTCATCCCCCAATAATTGGCCAAAATATCATTTGGCATATGTAGAGTGGTATAGCAACCTCGAATCCACAGCTGAAAAGGACCTCTTTAATGTACTCTGTTAATAAGGTACCTCTATACGCTGAAGGTTTTCCTCCAGGACAAATCATCCCTTTATCCAGTATTAGACAGGTTTGTTAACTTATCCCTGCTTTTGGTGGTTTGCACAATATATGTTCTCATCATTGGACTCATAGTAATATTCTGGATGTTTGTCACACATTTTATCTTAATAACTTTAGTAGCAAATATGCAAATCAAACATTATGGTAGTCATATATAGCATTTTAAATTTTGCATCTATAATACTATTATTGCTTTTGTTGCTCCTGTTGCTTTTATTGCTCGTATAACACTATGGTCGCTATGATCATACTATAGTTGCTCTTAAAGTACTATAAGTGCTATAGGTGCTATAATAGGCTTTATTTGCAGATATGTACAAACCCCTCTGCTATATAGCAGAAGGCTTTTTCCTGATGATGTATTATTCTTTAGCTTTTTATTACTTGAATAACCCGCTTGACTCCTTATCAGAAACCCTTGAGTTTACTATCAGTCCTCTACCTGCTATAATCTCTAGCATCTGTCAACCTCAAACTTATCATATCTTCTACCCCCTGCAAGCGCAGTTGGAGATGGGTATTGTTTTTGTTATAGTTTAACATTGCCTCACACAAAGCACTTGCATTGGATCTGCGTCGAGGCAGGTTCAGTCTCTAGATTGATGATGTGTTTGGTTGTTTGCAAGGATGTTATGTGTTTCTTATCTGTATTTTTATTGGTAGCTGAGTACATGTATGGACATGTACATACTGATTTAGTTTTCACTGGGCATTAGCCCTTGGTAATCAACTTGAACTTGCTGTGGGCCGACCACACTTTAGGTATTATTTTGTTACCATTTTGTCTCTCGTCTAACCCTCACCACCATGTTATGTTATTGCCACAGCTATGTATGTTGTGTTTTGTATAAATTGGTATGGTCGTGTTTTTTTGTCTCTTGTGTTTGAAGAGCGATAGCTCTGGCCTGAGGCTCACATTGAGCCTCATCTGCAGAGCCCCATAAAATATCATGTCTTAAAAGAAGCAAAATGGGGGCCCAAAAGATTATAGTTGCCCTGGCTGTGTGTTTTGGATCAAAATTCAAACAGTACCCCCACTGACATTTTGGAAAGGTAATAAAACTAAGTGAAATTCAGCCCCTGACTGAGAGGCTATAAAAAGGACTTTTATTATTTACCTACAGTAAGTGAAACTGTTACGATACACAGTTTTTAGAGTTTTAACTTTCAGTCTCTCCTTCAACCTTCTTTCGGGCTCTTTTGTTATATGTCACTTTCACTTTCTCATACTGCACAGCTTTCTCTTATTTTTAGATACAACTCTCTCACACAGTGGGGCTGGACACACGGGCTGCACCCTATGACATGATCAGCCACCACTTTCATCAACTGTATAGTACACATGTAAAAATAGCCTGTAGATGTATAAATACCCCAGTAGATTAAGGAGACTCCTCCGCGAGTCCTTCTGTGTTTACTCACAACTAACTTGGTCCTATCCTAAGGGTATACCCACTCCTACTTCCTTCAATCTTGCTTGTCTGAGTTGTGCACCAGAGTATACAAACTTTGGTTGTATCAGTAACTGAAATTGATGTCAGGCTAAAGTAATCTATGAAATATAATATAACATAACTCAGCTGCTGTTTGAGAGGCTACAGAAACATCCAGGGTATTCCTGTACTATGCCCCCTACTACTTATAGTCAGAGGTGCTACTCACTAAGGTATAATGGCTCCTAGGAGAACAATGGCTGCTTTAGCAGGGGCTGGGTTTATACAATTTTGCCCAAAGGTGCCAAAAATGAACATATCTGACAAATCTCAACAGGTTGAGCCTCTCCAGGGAGGAAGTCACAATCCTTTGAGTTTATCTTCTTCCAAGAGCCTGTCTGTTAGATGCAATCAGCTCCACAAGATAACCCTATCTGACAATGCATGGGAACCTCTGGAACACGCTGCCAAGGGTGGGTCTGTCCCAGAGGGTGATGGTATTATTTATCATATAACAAAAACATTGCACCACAGTGTCAGAACCACAGGTTGGAACTTGTAAATTGGTCTGACTGGGGAGACTATAAGACATGTGAGGTTGAGGTGTCCAGGAAAGGAGTCAGTGGCTGTTCATAACATTCAAGCTCATGGGGTCTGCCTCGGACGGTCATGTTATTACTACACTCTCAAATGGCACACCACACAAAAGTATATTACATCTCCTCATTACTAGCCCTAAAGTTGTTAATCTTCAATAATTGAAGTAGCTATAGCTACCATGTCATCCATAAATTTTTCTAAGCTATTTTCATTGTATCTATCAGATGCCTGAAGGATTTACAGTTAGCACCATGTTCCCCAAAAAGCCACAGACTTACCACAATCTGAATGTGGACTTTCGACCTCAATGAACAACAGTGAATAAACCTAAAATATTGTCAGTAAATGTTCATCAGTTCAAAACAATACATATGGGCAATATGAATGAGATTGGCGGTGGCCTAGGATCAGTTCTTCGATGACCGCAATGGGTTGCTCAGATTCGGCGGGCCAAACCAAAATGTCAGCAGACTACATCAGTAAAATGTGCGACTCCTTGGGCAGCTTATTTTTGTTTCCAAGCAGTGCAAGATAGGAAAGTTGAATATAATATGATAAAGGAAATTTAAGATGAGGAGAAAGTCACAAGTTCAATGGAAGTCGCACAAGTGAGTTGGACATTTAACAAGACTAAGTAAAGCTGCACATAAAGGCAACATCATCATTAATATTATATCAAAGGCCTGATGATCTATGAATTTATTGACATAAAATGAACTGAAGCTATCAAGGGAATTATGACAGGCAACATCCGGGTCAATAAATTCTTCCCCAAATATTGGAAGTAGATGGGCAGCCCAAAGAACACAATCTAAGTGAATGATTTCCACTAATGGAGAGTTATCTTCATTGAAGTCCGGTTGAATTTTGTACATGCCTGTGAGATTATCAGGCATGTTGTCAACCTTTGAAAACCATCGCACAAGTGCACAAGGATAGTAAACACCCTCAAACAAGAAAGAAACAAAAGCCAGGATCCAGACAACATCCAGTCCTTGCATGCCTTGAAGACTAGGATCTCGCTCGACAAAGACACAGTCATGTTGAGGACCACCCCCACGCCGAGATGGTACTGCTCTGAGGATCTCGCACCTCATACAACTGATGCCACTGGGGTCACAAGGTGCATAGTAGTATGCAGTAGTGGAGTGGAAGACTGAGACTTGGCCATCGGAGTATGGACAAAGCAAAAGGGGAATATCATGTGAGGATGGAGCATTCACATTGTCAAGATGGATCTGGTCAAACAGAAATCGCCGTATTAAATTGGGGAGGTCAGGTTGGTTGATTTGATGACCTAGTTGAGCAGTGTGCTGTGCATATCCCAATTCTGTTGGATTCACGAGTGAAATGTAAGCTGGTAAGCAGGATATGGGGATGTGGTACTCACATCGTCATCTTCCTAGTTCTACATGGCTAGTAGTTGTGCGTCCTGGTACAGGGCCGCCCTCATTATGGTTGCCATTAACAGCATTTGAGTCAGTGTTGGCATTGATCATGAGCTGATGATGGCCGGGAACATCTGGTAAGAAAGAGTAAATTATTGAAAATGTCAGTAAAACCATGCCAAGGATAGAAAAATATGATAAAAACCTAGCAAGCCAGCCTGGATATATGTATCAGAGAGAACCGTACCAGATAACATCCCTCGGCTGGTGAAGGAAATCCGGGATGCTGCAAGTTTATCTAGCCTCTGGTTAATAAGTAGCATTTGGCCGAGGGCTTTGTTCTTGCTCGAGCGACACCAGGGCTTCTTAACAGCCTGAATGTGCTTTGATTCAGTAATTGATGAACAAAGTCCATTTGGGGCACCAAACACTTGAATGAGGCGGTAGTAGTGCGTCATTGAGTGCTGACGCGGTAGAGAAAACCTGGTTGGCCTGACACCAAGATTTTGAAATATTGTTTGGTATCGATGAAATTTGCTGAGGGTGTCTTGTATCTTTGCTAGTGTATTTGTGTCATGGACATCACGTCGGACTAGATAGTAGAATTCCAGGAATGCACACAATGTGCGTACTATGTCAGGGGGGACATGTCCTTCAATGGCTGGAAGGTAAACCTAGTATTATTTCAGTGGATATGTAATTACAATTGTAAAGTAGTTTTGCACCTTCATTAGTGCTTTTGATTCGTCTCCAGTCCACTGTTTGAATCCATGGCCTTGAGGGAAGCGGCGCAAACCTGAAAAATAAGGTGCCGAAGCAATTCTAACCAGTGTTCATTAGCTAGTCTATATATAAAAATAACCACAAAGGCAACATACCTTTGGTCAATATCGTCTAGTATTTCGTTTGCACGAGTTGAGCTATAATTTTGTGTGATATATTCTTCGACCCAGGTGACTAGATGATCCTTGAAGGTACCCTTGATGAACTGATGAAGTAAGTCGGGAGCCAAGAGCTCATTAATATCAGCGCGTGGAAAGTCATTGGTAAAAGACTTAGAGGAACCGGACAAGTTATATTAAAGATCAGATAATACATTGAAAACATGAGAGAGAACTTACTACCAGGTCCCCTACAATGCCATACTCATCCCATAATACACCTAAATCTAAACAATTGACAAGGGCTTCTATATGCTCTTCTGAACGTCTTTTGCCTTCTCCATCAAGGTTGGTTGGTAGCGCTGTACAGCTGATTGATAAATGTTTGAGCATGAATTACTATATGAGGATTAAACTGGACTTACCGTGGACACCATCCCTGGACAATACGAGCCGGCAATGCTTGTTCTGGGTAATCAGCTATATATGGTCCAAGCCCCAAAATGACTCGTCGGAGATGTTGATCAGGGCATCGTGCTACCTTGGGACTGGTCATTCCTGGCCAAATATCCTGAAGGATAAAAGCTAATGATGTATGGAAAAGTTGGCGGCGGAACTTGCAGAACTTATCATTATTGCTGTATTTCTTGTCGGCTAATAGGTTTTTGAGTATGCACAATAATTAAACATAGTAGAGGACTTACTTTTTGGGATGGCCAAACATCCTACTAATACAACGCCGTTTTTGTGGGCACAACGAACATTGTTATGAATGTTTCCAATTGAAAGATAGAGTGGATAATATTTGTTCTGTCTAGTTGCAACTGAGACAGTGGTCTTATCACTCCCAAGAATTACAGGGACTAACATGGAACCGTGAGTTTGTGGATCCTCTGCTATTTTGTCAGCCTGTTTCCAGGCCCAGCTGCCAGACATGAAGTTCCGCCATTTCTGTTTTCCATCGTGATCAAACTCCCTCAATGGTGTGTAGTCGACTTCATTCTTGAATTCTGGGTTTTCAAGGATATTATGCACCAGTCCACGGGGCGAACGGAACCACACATCAAAAGATTGAGACATCCATGGAGGGGTATCCATTTGAGGCATTTGACCACTGTAAGACAATGAAAACAATTGCCAGGGAATGCCGCCAATAGGTGTGGAGTCTATTGTATTGTATAAATCAGTATGGTCAGTAAAAGGTATGGTGTTCTCGTTGAATAGTTCGTTTTTCACAATCAATGCCTTCCAGAGGTCTAATAATGTGTCTATATGGCCCGCTGACATCTCCTCCTTTCTATACAGAAACTCTGAAGTCTAAAATGAAACCCGATCCTGGTACGGTGTCCAATCATTAAGTGGAGGCTATGGGGCAGGTGGCACTGGTGTTACAATAACACAATTTTCGGACCTTTCCTTTGATTTTCATTCTCCGCTTTAACCTTTTACTATAGTTTACACTCCGTGCCATACGGCACTTTCCTTTTTTGTTCTAACTCCACCTTCTCGCACAGCGCTACCTTTATTCTTCTTTTAGACTCAAACTCTCTCACACGCAGTGGAGCTGGTCACACGGACTGCACCCTCTGACATTATCAGCCACTGCCTTTATCAACTGTACAGTACATAGGTACAAACACTCTGTATTAGTATAAATACCCCAATAGATCAAGGAGACTCCTCAGCAAGTCCTCCTGTTGTATACCAACAAACTCTCTGCAGCTTAAGGGGTAACCACTCCCTCATCACTACCTTTATAGTGTGTTCCTGTGTGTGCCAGAGTAACTAACTCTTGGTTGTTACAACTGGTACATTTGCTGGCAAAGTGTTGCCGAGTTTGTTACATGGCTTGCCTGTGGGGTGGATGTAACGAAGAGTCACAGAAGCACAGTTTTGGGACGCACCATCAATTAAAGGATGATACTCAAATTCAGAAGTCCTAGGACACTCTACATCCCAGTCTGCTGCAATTTTGTCAGGTTCCACCACAGAAATGTCTTCATCATCATGTTGTTCCCTTTTAGGAGTGTCTTCATTATGACCTCCATTTTAATCAACTACCATAGTGGGATGAGTAGCTCTACTGCTTCACCAAAGTGGAATGTGAGCAGAGCATAGATGATTTGTCCTCCCTGAGAGATTCCGAAACCAGTGATTGCATCCTGCAAAGTGGCAAGGAAGAAGACGTTGAGGATTATGATGGGACTGTGTTTGTGGGATAGGTGGGACCATTGAAAGGCTGCCAGTATGAGATGCTGAGTGTGAATGAGTGAGCCGCAATACCTACAAGTATCGTGAGACTGGTGCTCTTTGCATAAAACTGGAATCTTCAGAGACTCATGTCAACTCTTCATATTCTACCACTTTGCAAGTCCTGACTTGGATGACTCAACAGCTTATCATCAATTAGCCATATGTCTCGCCCAAATACACATGCAAAAAATGCTCACCAGCATCCTGGTCAAATTATCTTGGATGCGCAGTCTAAAAGACAATCTTGTGCCGAAGTTGAAGAAGAAAAGGTTAGGAAGAGGATAACACGCGAAGAAGTTGAGCTTGGAACTCGAGCAGCACTTGAGCCCATTGCAACTGTTGAGAGTAGGCAGGCGAGAGAGGACAATGACATGCATATGCACATGTTACCACCATCTCAGTGGCGTATCATCCGTCGTGAGAGTACTCAGACAGTCCCTGACAGTGAAGAAGAAAGGAAAAAATCAGATCCACTTGAAGGATTTGATATGGAAGGGATAGGCCGGCATTGACATGGAACAAGAGACACTACCTTATCATTACTATCCCATTCCAGCCACCGGTGAGGAGCCTGTGATCAACAAGTCCTTCCCACTAGTCGACAAATCTGAGCTCGAACTTGGAAATCCTAACCTGGCTGTTAATGATGAAGAAGACACTATCAGCATATCCAGTGAGGAGGAGAGTTGACCTAGGAAAAAGAAAAAGGTGGGTGTTTGACAGACCATCAAGGTGCTGCAAAAGCAGCCTGCTGCTGTGGGGACAAAACAAAACTCCAAGTCAATGGTTCATCAGATAAACGCCTGGCTAAGAACATGAGGCCTGATGGGAAACAGAAGTCACACAGCAGGTTTGTAATACTTCTTTGGTTTTGATACACACCATCACTGATTTCCTATTACAAATTTTGCTACATGATGCTTGTCCTCACTGAAACTATCTTAATGTACCATGACCTCAGAACATTGGAGCCTGAAGAAATCCACAAGCCAGCCGGCATTGAAAGATGGGCCAACAAGGTCCCTGCACGGTTAGCCACCAGAAATAGCAGGATTGCTACCACATCAAATTTGACGTCATCCGGACCAACCCAAAATTTACTGGTTCATTCATGTTCAACCTTAGGGACATTGACACCTAGCCAATCCGCTACAACAAAGTTCAACAAGCTACATACAGACACAAGTAAAGTGGAGCTCAAACCAAGGATGAAGAGGAGACTGAGTATCAGGAAGGGGGGTTTGAAGATGAAGATGAGATAGAAGGACGTGAGGCTATGGTTGGAAAAAAGTGGACAACAGCATCAGTACATCAATCAATTGCTAATTGATCTATTAACGAACCTTTGATTAACAGAGCATGGTAAAGATTGATCGCATAATGTCCCTTGCACCGGTCTCAAAATGCATCAAAGCAGAAAATGGTCGTGCTATTGGTATCAAATCCAAGAACTCCGACTTGCCATATGGCTGCCTTGAAGGAGGACAGTGGCGGTCTGTATTTGTGCCAACTTATACAAAATGGCTTGGTACAACCAATAATCCATGGTGCACCACTGACAATGCAGCCTTATCAGCTTTACAGACAACCTGGGAAAGAGTCTTCCCGGATATCTCATACTCTGTGTCTATTCACGATCCAGTCTATTGTGTAGTAAGTTTTGTTTTCATTCTCACAATTAGTGTCTAAGCCTCATTTATCCAATAGCTTAGCCAATGCTTCTCTGAATGGTGTGTCGGTTTAGGTGGAGCAGCTATAATAATACTTGAGGATTTTTTTAGTAGTGACCCCGAGTTCAATACATATGAGGCACGTCAGGACTTTTCAAAGGCAATGCTCGACCAGCTATATTTCCTCTACGCTGACACCAGCAATTCATCTGTGAGTCTTCATTTGTATCCACTAATTTATTTCTGACCACTATTCGTCACTCAATCCCACAGCAACTTTGTGGTGTTTTCCGCTCTGAATTTATTCTACAAACATTTGCATCCCATCTCAACACAATTAGTACTGCAGTTGATATACAAGCACTGGAGCGGGCCAGATCCAAAACAGACATTGGAAAATATCCGCCACGGGGTGCATTAGCCATTTGTGCGGCTGCGGTGAGTCTCTTCATAATCAGCTGATTTATCTCTTATCATTATTTAGGTTGAGCGCGTGTTTACCCTTTGGGCTAAGGCTGATATGCAGTGGGAGCCCATTGATGACACTCACGAAAAGGGCAAAGGTAAACAGGCCCAAGCAATATTGAAACCGGCACCCAAGCTCAACATGGCCACAGGCAAGGCAACTGGTAGTCATGCAACATTTTCTGATGTTAACTGGGGCCCAAAAACCCGCAGCTATTATGACTCCATTTGTAAACTCAAAGATGGCTTGCTGGACAATATTGTGAAGAAGGCTCTTACCTACACAAAGGGGCACCTCAAATTAAAGGAACAAGAGGATAGCACTGGCCAGTCTATGGACCCCCGGGCTTTTTTGATGGATTTATAGGTCATATAAAACACGTTGTGGTTCATTTATGAGTTTATTTTACTAATGCCTCCTTGCTCAGTTTTTTCTCTGCTTTTCAAGTTATGCATGTGCTTGGCCATGATGTTTTCGGCTTGTTTTTTTTGCATAGTCATTTGTGTGCTTAAATATTTCTTCCTTCCTTAGGATGGCTTAATACACTTGTTTTATTGTTCCAAGCAGCATCAATTGTTTATAAGGTGACACAAGCTGATTCTAAGTGGAAGACCCTACTTAATTCCTTCTTGAATTCTGATCTGGCTGCTTGGCGCTTTCTTTACTTGAACAGCTTAGACAGGTATTAAGCACGTTCAAGCAACCACCAAGCAGTCGCGCATTTTACTGATGTACCCTGAATGACTGTCTGAGCCGCTAAATGTGGTAGGTGTTTACTTGACAGCCATCTTCGATATTGATGCTTCAGGTTAACCATTATGTTTAGCACTTGCTCTCTCAAGCTTTTATCCCAAGGAATATCTTTTGTTCTAAAAATGTTCAGCACAAAGCACATTGCCAAAGCCACGTGTGTTCAACTATTGAAGGGTGGTACATAGAATTTATCCAAAGAAATTCTGCAGAAAATTAATGAGCTTGTTTGATGTCACAGCAAAAGAAGTTTCTTACATGGAAAAGTCCAAAAGTACATTTGTATCCTGCATCAAGGTTGCCTGGACTGACTCTTGCTTAAAGATTGCAAGAACTTGGGCAGTATCAAGGAGAAAAGAAACACTTGAACCTGCTTGCTTTAGTGCAGCGAGGAGTTTGCTCAATGTATCGGAATCAATGACTCGCTTGATATGCAACAGATGCCCGTGCTGCTGAATTTGCATTCTCTCCGCAGTAATATTCCGTGAAAACTTTTTGTGTTTTTAAGATTGTATAGCGCCAAAAAAAAGCAGTGTAAGGGACTTGCCTCCTGGTGAGTAGAAACAAGATTTTTCATCGCTTCATGCTGCAAGGGTACTTCAATTTCCCAATTGTCCTGCAGGCCTCCGCTTGCCGTAACAGGGCCTACAGGTAGATATTTCCACTCAAGCCCCCAATGCTGGTCCTCAACGGTTCTAGCTGATTTTGACGCAGTGATTGTAACAACCAAGAGTTAGCTACTCTGGCACACACAGGAACACACTATAAAGAGAACGAAGAGGGAGTGGTTACCCTTTAGAATGCAGAGAGTTAGTTGGGATACAACAGAAGGACTCGCTGAGGAGTCTCTACATGTTTGTTTGTACATGTGTACTATACAGTTGGTAGATGCAGTGGCTGATGATGTCATGGGGCCTAGCCCGTATGACCAGCTCCACTGTGTGAGAGAGTTGTGTCCAAAAATAAGAAGAAAGGCAACGCGGTGCGAGAAAGGGCAAGTGCCGCGTGGCACCATGTGTGAAAGCTATAGTACAAGGTTAAAGCGGAGAAATAAAAGTAAAGGGAAGGTCCGAAAATTGTGTTATCGTAACAGTGATATGATGGAATATGGTGTAAAGCATGTTGAGAACCGTGAACCCATCTGCAAGAAAGTGGGTTGCGTGTATGAAAATGGAATGCAAGCCAGTGCTGCACAATAGAAAAAGGCATGCAAAATACTATTTGCAAACCAAATCACTCTTATCCACTTCTGGAAGGTGGATTTCATTTTTCGAGAGGATGAAGTCGTCATCTGATATATCATCATGGTGAACTGTCAGACTATCCCTTGCCCAGTTGCACACATGCAGAGAATCAGGTGCAGGTGTGTAGAACCAAGCATGGCTATCTTGCTGACTGCAAATTTCTGCCGCAATTAAAGGAGAGAAAAATCTAGTACACCGTAAGCATTATTCATATGGATTTATAAGATTAAGATTACTCAGACCTTAGATGGCAAAGAGCATCACATATCTTTGCGGCCAAGCTGTCCTCAACAAAAGTGGATTTAAATGGAACCTCCATGCAGAATTCATTAGCTCTGTATCGGAGTTAGCTATGTCCCTCAGGAACGAGAGGCGACTATACAAACCCTTCTGTGAACTGGCTTATCTGGTAGTGTGTAGCCTCGGACCCTAAGAGAGGTCTGTAGGAAACTTTGAGTATCAATCTGCAGTCACTAAACATAATATAACTGACCGGGTATATACACCTTTGTCGTGCAACCATTGTTGTACTACGGAAGACATGACTAGCTACTTAGGATTGAGATTTGGATGGAGTAGTCTGATCATTTGTATCCTGCACCAACACCGCTTAAATATCCTTCACGTTCCTGTGCCATTGGGTAAGTGATGGCCAAAATACTTTTCTGGTATTGTACCACAAGCTTTCCAAAATATCATCAAGTGAGGATTGAAAGCCTGAGGTGCCAGCGCTGAAAAGACAAAGCTATCTGGGTCTACATAGTTGATGTCATTCTCATCCATATACACCTTTATCACTGATACCTCCTTATCTACTCTGCTGAGCCTCTTGCGACTGGTGTTTAATATGTCCTTGTGGAGATCAATCATCCCTGTGGACTGATTGATCTTCCAAGCACTAAACTGTACTTTGCATCGCAAGGACTCTCTTTCTGCCACCTGGATTTCAAATGCTCTACCAACTTTGTCAGGGGTTAAGTCTTCCTCGTCAGCAAGCAAGAAGGGTAAGTTATTGCTAAGTTTTTCTACCTAGAAATTGTCAAAGTTATGATCAATTGAAAGCTAACAAGCTCTTACAGAGACTTTTGGGGATTTTTTTTTTCAGGAGACACTCAGTGTTCAATCTTTGTAATGACAGGAGGAAGCTTCTTTTGAGATAGTCCACTGGAAGGCTGAGGGTAAGGGGTGTATAATGTGATTCCCTTCAATGAGCATGGAGAGTGCGGATGGTGATGGGCAGATATGTGCTTGTCAGAGATTTGGGACAAGTTGGCGCCTAGATTAGGAACTCCTCCCTCCCAAGTAATACTGACTTTGTGGTTGTCAGAAGTCATATCGCAGTTGGAGGTAGGAGGGAAATTGATTTCAGTGTTAGGATTGACAGCAAAACCAGTGGGAGAAAGGTCAGGAATATTGGTGAAAATAGCACTCTCTCCAGAGAAAATTGTAGTAATGAGTTAAAGAGACTGATTGGAGTTTGAAGGACTTGTGCATTCCTGCTGCACTGTTAGGTGAGCATACAGCAGGAAGACAGTAAACTGACCAAGTGTATTGCAGACATGGAACAGCACATCCAGAATGATCCTATGGAAGAAAATCTAGTCAGTTGTCCTACACAAGGGTGCTCTGAACAATTCAGAGACTGGCATAAAGTAATCAGTCACCTCAACAATCCTTTTCTCTCTTGCATTCCTCTAGCGGAACCTATTACTACTGCAAATGGCGAACAACTTCACATACCTGCTAGAAATGCACCCCCTGATCTGCCTCACTGGAATAATCAGGGCGCCATCCCACTGGGAACCAAGCTCTCTTATCACCCTAACTCTGCACCCAACTATGGCATACTACCAAATGCCTTGGAATAAATGAATGCTGATAAATATGCCAACAAATGCACTCACGGAACAAATGGGAGCTGGCAAAAGTCCTGATGGAAACGCTCAATCAAACACAGATCAATAAGTTCTTAAAACTTGCCTGGGTAATTACTTCATCATTCAGAATCTGTGAGAAGTGCTCATGTTTTTTCAGACAAAAGATCCTTCAAAGTTGAGCTTTGGTTTGGCATACTGTCTAACATTGTTTATGGAGATACTGCCAAGCGGGCCAGTATGGAAAATGGAAGAAATACAGGCCAGAAATTACAAGACTGAAAAACCCATGATCCTGTTGTATAGGGATGGTCTTGAAGTCGTCAAATCACTGTTTGGAAATCCTATCTTTGCTAAACACATGATGATGGACCCCAAGCAAGTAGTGAACAAAGATGGCGAATGGGAGTACAGCGAGTGGATGACCGGTGACTATGCATGGGCTATACAGGTATGTATCTGTATCATTATTCACTCATTTAGCTGATAGGCAGTTTAGGATCAACTTCCTATTGGTTCTACTATTGTTGGAGTTGTTGGTGCGTCAGACAAGTCAACAGTTACTCAGGGAACAGGTGGTATTGACATGCATCCTACCTTTTCTACACTCGCAAACATCTCATTGGACGTGCCTATGAAAGCCACAACTCACTCTTGGCTCCGCACGGCTTTCTTACCTATTCCAACATTCCTGGATTGTCACACTGAATACCAATCTATTCTCTTGGATTGTGTCTAACACCTTTATGGACATTGTTACAACAAACCTCAAGATGGCGGCTAGCACAGGCATATGGATGGCTGATCCAAATGGTGTAGCTCGTCAAGTATATACACCGTTAATTGCTTGGGTAGCTGACTTACCAGAACAGCAAATGATTGCATGCACAACAAAGAACCTCCCGCCAATCTCACATGCTTGCTTGAAGAAATTTGGCAATAACAAACCTTGTCGACCACGGCTAGGCATGGATAGACTCCTAGCCATTAACAGCATCCAATCTGATATGTGGGACTTTGCCAGCTTTGTTTCAGAGGCAAAGGCTAAAGGTTTGAGTGGTGTCCATCATCCATTTTGGCACGATTGGCCTTTGGCAGACCCAAGCAAATTTTGTGTTCCCGAGGATTTACATACATGCCATAAGGTTTTCTTTGACCATGTCTTGCTGTGGTGTAAGGAAGCTATTGGAAGAGATGAACTCGGTGCACGCCACAAGAGTTTTATCAGGAAAAATGGGGGTAGCTATATAGAGCTCTATAGCACTATAAGTACTCATAAAGCTATTATAGTGGTCAAACCTGTTATAGAACCTCTGCCATCTATAGAGCCTCATATAGCTCTATAAATGCTCTTATAGATGTTGGAAATTGTTGTGTGGCTGATAAAAAAAAATTAACACAGACAGGATTTGCACTCTCAACCTGCTAGTCAGCTTTTGGGTGACTAAGCAACCTATCACCACACATTACATTTATCCACTACACCATAAAAGCTTATAAAATATATCATACAGGTTTTATATATTGACCTTTCATGGACTTAGATTATTTTTTTACTCATTGTCACTACTTATATTTGAATAAATCATTATTCTTATTTTATAAATATCAAAGATACAAACTACTATCTCACTAATACAGGCTACATAATTAATTAATACTGGATGATTTATTAGCCCTTTTAAGCACCTTGGACTATATTATAACTATGACCTTCACAGCTATAGGAGCTATGTAGGCTGCTATAGGCTATAAGAGCACTTATAGTATCTTGCCTATAATAATATACTTGACTCCAAACACTTTTGGCCTCTTTCTATTATTGAACAACTTTATTAGATTAATCCAGAGTTTGAGGGAATTAGAAAGCTCAATGCTCACTGAACTTGACCATGAATCAAGCTGGCTATCTCGCGCTTTGCCCGAAGAAAACCATATCTCCAGCATCCAGCCCATCCACAACCATTTTTTGAAAGGGATCCAGTCTATTGACACCAGGTCAGTGTTTCACCTCACAAAGCAGCCAGGTATAAAGTCTATCTCGATCAATGATGCGGCAGAACTGTTTGCTTTAGAAGACTTACCAACAGCCATAGCCAACTATGCACGAGGCTTATTGAACGCACAGCAATTTGGTCACAGGTTTTCTGGGCCAGATGACTGTGCAAATTTATCATTCACACATATTTGGGTGTGGTATAAATGCAAAATAGAGCTACACTCAACATTTTGGTCACATATCATCATGCTGCCGCAAACTATTCAAGCATATCCGCCATTTCCCAATATGCCACTTGGAAACTGCGATGCTGTGATGCTGGGTAATCAGGATGGGCGTGGTTTGGAGTGTAAGTTTATAAAGTTTATCATAACATTAACCGATGTGTTGCTTTTATCTAGCTACTTCTGTGGTGCAAACACATATCATATTTCAGGGCCATAGTGCCGTGAAACACTGTCCTCAACCAATGTCTATCGCCTGTGCTTATTTATGCACAAAACTTTGGTTATACAGGAGCGAGAGGAGATGGCCGGGGGAATGTTTTGGTGGAAGAAGATGTTGATATGTACATGGTTGAACGACTCTTCCACAACTCAACAACCGGAGAAAGGATCCGGGTAGGCAATGTGTATCCTCTCAACTCAATACACTTGCCTGTTGATCTCATACCCGTTTTTGGTGCAGTTATGAACTGTGACATCAATTCCAGCAACTCTATGGAGGTTCCAACGACTTTCTATGTCAATAATTTCTCGGACAAAGAGACCTATAATATGTTTCTGACCGAGTTTGCAGATTGATTGTTGTACAATAGATATTCACACTTCTAGTTATCGTTCTCTGATATGATAATGACAATCAGCCACCACTGGCAATCTCTATCTTATCACGCTGATAAAATGCTATCTCTATGATGTCTGAAATCTCATCGCAATCTACTTCTGAAAATTCAATCCTTTGGATATATATGGTAATATCAACTTTTTCCACCAATCAGAGACATCAACACCAGAAGTCTCAAATTTTGAAATGCGCCTAATGCTAGGTGAGGTATAAGCAAATTTTCTCATTTTGCAGATGTATTCGGACATTTCTGAAAACTTACATTCCACTCTCATTTTTCCTCAACAACTTAATCCATAGCGGTTCTGTGTATTTTTACCACTCACTCCAACTTTCCTAACACAAAATCCTGAATTATTGAGTGAGTTCCATGTGCGTGACTTTTGAGAAAGTAAGAGCTTGTACGGGAACTCTCACTTTCAAAAAATTCAATTTTTGCTTCGGCACAGCTCCTCCTGGTTAGAGCGGAGAATGAAAATACACAGACCACAAAGTTCTTGCACATACCCCTAGTTAGCACTACCAGCCATTATTATAAGGTCCATCTTGCAGCTCAATATTGAGTCCAATTCTAATTGCATGGACAAAAATCAAGCCCTATCCAACTCACAGATTGCCTTGACTAGAAAACAAATCCTCTCATATGGCCTGCAGATGTCGAGGTTCATGTCAATCCTTGTGCAGTTGATCATTGCAACAGCTCACACTGTTGCTGAGGAGCAGGAGCAGCAACTACGGCCAAGGCCATATCATAACTCAATTCTGACGGGTTATTGATGGGTTAGACAATTAATGGATGGTCATCCTGATCAAATAAGGACTGAGTTGGGTATGTGGCAAGAAGTATTTGTAAAGCTTATTGATTTCCTGCAGAGTCATGAGTATACTGACTCCAAGCATGTCATGCTGGAGGAACAAACCAATGTCTTTCTGTATGCCTGCGTCACCGGTCTATCTACCCGCCATCTTGCTGAACACTTTCAATATTCCAACGACACAATTGCCAAGTATTTCAAGTGGATGCTTCAGGCTTTCAATTCCACCAATATCTACAACTCCTATGTACATCTTTCTGAGGCCACTGAGGCCACACCAACTGCTATTGCCAACAACCCAAAACTTTGCCACTTCAAGGACGCCATTGGTGCAATTGACGGCACCCATATTGCCTGCAGCCCTTTGGCTGCAGAGCGTGATGCTACGGAAAATTGCAAGGGCATGTTCTCACAGAACTGCCTTTTGTGCTGCAATTTCAACATGCAGTTTACGTATGTCCTTAGTGGGTGGGAGGGGTCCACCGCGGATGCCAGTCTCTTTCATGATGCTTGCTCCCATGATCTGCACACACAATCATCCCGAACAACATATTATTCTGTGGCTCCTCAGAGCACTCTGCCTGCTCTCGCAAATGTAATTGATTCTTCACTTCTCATTTTTTCATTATGGACTACACCACCTGTACTAACAAATCCCACACGTATACTTGGACAATTTTGACATTTTACTTTGTTGTACCAACTTACTCTGAGTTTATCCTGAACTTTCCTTTAAATTACTTTATGGTTTCATAATTGGTGTATTTTCTCCCATCACTCATACTTACACACCAAAAAATCTTCCTGGTGCTCCAATTCACATAAATGTCATCCACGAATACATCATCAACGAACTTCGCCTAGGCCGTTTCTCCGGTCCCTTTACTCAAACCGCTCTCAAATTGAAAATAGGATCATTCCGCTCTTCACCCCTACAAGTTTCCATCAAAGAAGGATTACCTGGCGAACCGACAAAATTTTGTGTCTGCAGACATCTATCATACGTCGGATCCCAAGGACACTCAGTTAACAACGAAATCAACAGTTCCTTATATCCCACAAAATGGGGCACCGCTCAGTACATTGCACAACTCGTAAGTTCATTTCATGATAGTTCAAACAATGTACCGCACCTTTTTGTATTGGGCTCTCCACCACATTGTATTATGTGCGCCCCTCGCATACAATCTGATCAATAGACGAATGGTTATATTACTGCCAATCCTTCACCATAGAACTGGCAGTGTTGGTGGGGATCCAACTTGGAATATCAGTTACCAACTTTCTTATCCGAAGTGATAACAAAGGAGTCATTGCTTCTTTTCGCAAAGGGCAATGTCACAATATGCACATCAACATGTGCATTTGTCGCACAGAAGCCGTTCTGGCACCACTCAGCCTCTCTCTCACCCTCATATACGTCAATACCAAGGACAACCTTGCTGACCCCATATCACACGGCATCCATCCCTCTACTGCCTCTCGTCTCCCCTTTGCAGTCCGACTACCCACCGACATATCCCCCTTCTTCTCTCATGTCTGACCGCCACTCTCTAACAGACATACTACAATCTGTAGATGTTGGTGCCGCCACTCAAGCCCTATATCGTGAATTTCCTCCCTCTGTGAGGCACTTAGCCTCCTCTTCAACTGATCAAACACGCACTCCCAGGACACCACGTCTTAATAATTGCATCCAACAATCATCTCATTGCCCTCACGTTCTTGCAAGTGACAGACTTTTACTTTGGTCAGCTCCGCACTCTATATCCTTCCAGCATGATCTTGATGTTGCCTTTCCTTCTTCTCATTTAATCAAACTCTTCCAGGTCATGATTTGATCATTAGACGAAAATACACGCAGTAATTATGGGGCCGGGCTACTTCAATTCACTCAATACTGTGATCAACTGAATATTCCCGAAGAGAATTGTATGCCCGCATCAGAAACTCTCTTAACAGCATTCTCAGCACACGCAGCTGGCTCTATCTCTTTGAGCGCTCTCAACAATTGGTTAGCTGGGCTACATTTCTGGCACACTATAAACGGTGCTCCTTGGCACGGACATGAAATGCTTCATCATGTACGCCGAGGAGTCACAAAACTGGTTCCCATCTCCTCCAAACATACAAAGAGGCCTCCTGTTACTATAGAGGCATTACTTTCACTCTGCCATGGCCTGGACCTAACCAATTCTCTTGATGCCAGTCTGGCCTTTTGGTTGTGTTGTTGGTAGGCACCTCCTTTGATTATACTATATTCATTTCTTTCTCCTTTTTTCAACAATTCATGTAGTCTTGGTGAACTTATCATACCCAGCACCAATCTCTTTCTTCCTGTAACAACCAAGAGTTAGTTACTCTGGCGCACACAAGAACACACTATAAAGAAGATGTTGAGGGAGTGGTTACCCCTTAAGCTGCAGAGAGTTTGTTGGTATACAACAGGAGGACTCGCTAAGGAGTCTCCTGGATCTATTGGGGTATATATACTAATGCAGAGTGTTTGTGCTTATGTACTGTACAGTTGATAAAGTCAGTGGCTGATGATGTCATGGGGCCTAGCCCGCATGACCAGCTCCACTGTGTGCGAGAGTTGTATCTAAAATAAGAAGAAGGCAATGCGGCGCGAGAAAGAGGAGTTTGAACAAAAGGGGAAGTGCCACGTGGCACCATGTGTGAAAGCTAAAGTGTACAAGGTTAAAGCGGAGAATGAAAAAGAAGGAAAGGTCCGAAAATTGTGTTATCATAACACTTCCTGCCAAACACGTATCCCGTTCCGTTATCCCACTAACATTCCATCACCTACCCAATAACACAGTTTTCACCACATTTCACATACCTTGGACGAAAACCACTCTACAAGATGGAGCGGACATCTCTGTCACTGCACGCGCTCACCCCACTTGTCCCATAACAGCTCTCAAACACCATCTTGTCTGTAACGCAAAGGTACCTGACATGGCTCCCTTGTTTGCTTCTGAAACAGCAAATGGTTCCTGGGCACCATTAACCAGGCTGTGGTTCTTGAACCGATGTAATGCAGTATGGCTGGAAGCGGGATATCCAGATATGCTGGGACATGCATTTCAGATCGGAGGTACCACTGAACTGTTACTTCAAGGCATCAATCCAGACATCATTGCAACTCAAGGATGTTGGCACAGCAGGGCATTTTTATTATACTGGCATCGCATAGAATCCATTCTTCCTTTGTTTCTTTCTGCTTCTAATCAGGACTCATCTTGTTCACGTCTCTTAGCATCCATAGATACTTTTCACCAACGACACGGCATTTCAGCATCTTGAGCGCTCATCACTCAAAAACTCAAAACATATGTTGTAATTATCACATTCTCAGGTTTACATTCAATGTTTTGTAATTTGTTTTTAATTTGTTTTTTTCTTGCCAAAATTACACATGATTGGTTTGGTATTTTAAGCATTCCTTGATCACTGACTCAGTGTGGGGATGTCTCCGACCTGTAGTGAGCCAATGTTCTCGGATGGTTAGGTCTAGAATCCTTCCCCACTCGTTCCTGGACCCATCCTCAGAACGCTCCGAAGGTCTAATTTCAGATTTTTTTCATTTTCTCAAACTTTACAATCAGCTGACAAATCCAAAGTTTGGGTTTTCCAGAATTTCTTTCCAATCAGCTGACAAATCCGAAAAAAATTGGTTCTCCGGAATTTCCCGCAAAACCAATAATCTGACCTTCACCACCAAACCACGAAAATAATACTTATTATATTTTTTTATCTTCTCTCATCTCTAATTGTCTAAATAATATATACAAATACTATTTTACTCCATCATATCTATTTCAACAGCTGTGAGCGATCATACAAAAGTGAGTGCAATTCTCCCAACACATTAATCCACGGAGGTCACGTAATAGGTCCAGTGGACTATGCAAACAAACAATCATATAGCATAGCCACCTGGACCCGGATGTTGAACGCGTCTGCCCACATTTACATTGACTGCCCGCACTTCCTCCCAGCCTATCAGCTTCTTGCCCATAGCACTGGTTTGCTATGCCTCCTTTAGGGACCAGTGATGCCGACAACATAACCGGCACTTCATTGACCAAGGCAACAACCAAGGAATGCATTGGGTGCAAGCGGGTACTTGCTTTGGAACAGTTTGCCTTGGCTACCAAAGGCAAGGGCAAAGGACTGCCAAAAGCAACTTGTATGTCTCGTTCTGTACGACAGTCTGAATGGGCTAAAGAGAAGTACCGTGAAAAATGGGATACTGAGAAGGAAAATACCACCAATGAACCCACCAATGAGTCAGCGGCTGCTGGACTTGGTGTTGTAGCACTCGAAGACTTCCTCGCACTTCTCAGCAGGTAGGGGAATCACCTTGAAGTGGATGCTAATGTGGACATTAGCAGTGTCAACCGAAATCTGTCTCTGGATACCTGCACAATTGCAGACCGTATTACCAAGTTAATTTGGGATATGATGAGTTACCGTTGGCTGTAAGTAGCACTGCTGCCAATTTTCACATGATATTAAAGTCAATCATCATCTTCTAGCTATCATAGTAAATATGTTTATCGACGTTCTGGTGGTGACATAATCCAGTATAGATGTCATTGTGCACAGAGTAATACACGCTCCAAGAAGCCTAAAAAGAGTGCTCCGAATGTAGAGAAGCAACGTGATAAGCAGAGCATGCTTACTTTTGCATGTGAAGGCTGGCTGTATATCACTATTTCACGTCACTCTATGACTGCTGAAATATCTGTGACACACCAAGAGGATCATATTCCTTACTGTTGCATTGATATCCCAAAAGAGGTCCATGAACTCGTGCAAAAAATTCAGATTCAACTAGCTCACAGGTATGCTAACTATGTGAGAAGACGAATACTATGTCCGCTAATTGACATATTCTCTCACAGTTATGGAATAAAATCCTCCAGAAGTACCCTAATCCAACGTTTACGAGGAAGGCTATCTACCAGATCTGGTCTAAAATTGGCAGCCAGCAATGGAAGCGTGATGAAGATGAGATGGTGTCAGCAAAAATGCTTCTGGAGTAGGGACGCAAACAAGGAGGACTGGGGGTTTACTCTGTGTTGCCAATTGAGCTGATTCCAGAACCCGGTTTAAAGGCTCTGGCTTTTGCCCTCCCAGATGTCTTGAAGCAGTGGGGTGGAAGAATACGAGAACTATCTCTTATGTGAGATTTTCTATGTACATGAGAATTCAGGCACTGATGGCTTGATCAATAGGGAATACAAATGGCACACAGTTTAAGTGATGTTTGGAGATTCCTGTTGCTCTGATAATGCTATATAAGTGGCTACCATCAGTATCAGATGTATAATTGTGGGTGTGGTTGTGTAAGCATCACAAGCTTAATACTCTTGTACTGCTAAAATTCTGCTCTCTTGGAGCAACTTTGAATATCTCCTAATGCTTCTCATGTTGCTCCGGTAGCTGGATTCCAAGGCAACACACCTATGGACAGCTGAAGGCGGCGGCGGTTGTCGACTATCTCAATCACTAGTTCAAGGACCGTGTTGCACTCAGTGTAAGTGGATTTCTTATAGTCCTCATTGTATAGCTACTATTCTTTCGATTTTAACCTCATAGGGCTATGCACCGTTCTACAAACACCAATAAGGGATTACAAGAAAATATCTACATCATGTTACAACTGCCAACACTATGCAGAAAGCACCTAAGTACAATACTGGAACTGCCCACCAATCTCATATGGATAATTGTGAGTACTCAATCGCTCGAATCAAACCGAACTGATGATGTTATAGACTGGACTATTTATGTACCGACTACATTGATGGCCATGTGCTGGGCAGCACACCGTTCAGATGCGTCAGGATAGATAGTCTTGCGTTGATAGCTCAAGGATGCAGATATCGCAAAACAAAGGACATATGTGAGTACTCAATCGCTCAATATGTTCCACGCTGATAAATATGAGGGATTGTTCCGTTCACATCTCTGTTGCACTGATGGTCTGATGGTCACACGCTGCCCAGGTTGATATTGTGGAGAACGGTGACATGTACATGGATGGTGAATATAACTACCTAGGGCTTCGATCAACTTGGACGACGTCCATTGCATTGTATGTATATCTGCAGGCAGTATCATTCTATCTCGGCCGTGCTAATATTGTGTTCAAAAATTTTATTAATATACTATTAATTGGGCAATTACATAGGAGAAAATGTGCTATATATCAATTTCTACTTTGGCATCATTCACCCAAATGACATGTCTCCTACTGCTCAGATGACTCCACCCTAGCTGCTTTTAATGCAGCACATTTTTCTTTTATACGAGCCAATGCACTGTTTTTGGATACAAGGCATTGAGCAGACGAGTGACTTGGAAAGATCTGGCTGATAACAGAGGAAAATTGAGCTATCAAACACATCATGATGATATTGTGAAAGGCCTACATGTTCCACCATTTCAGCAATGCCTCAACTTCTTCTCTCTCATCAATGTTGTTGAACAAATCAAGTATTGAAGAGTAAAACCGTTCAGAATCTGTAATTGCGTCACTTTTAGTAAAGACCAGTGACAACGATAGCCCAAACCGGACCTGAGGGATACCCATATATGAGCTATGACCTTAGTAAAAGGGAAATTGTCCATTTACCTGCGTTGCAACATAGGCTATCGAGGCAGGTGTTACAGATGACATCCCATGAATGCGGGCATTGCCTGATCTGGTTGCTTTTGGCTCTTTTTCTACAGAGCTAGGCGACGTGAAGACATATTTGTAAGACTATGACCATAATGTTAGTTCTTCGTAAATGAGAAGGGCGAGTAACTTACAGATACTAGCAATGAGCTCTGGAATGCTCCAATCCAGGGATTGTCACTATCGTACTTGTAGTCCTTGTAGATGAAATTCGGCCACTGATCGCCGGGGATGATCAAACTTCCATCTTTTAAACTCGTTTTCAGCCTATGCAAACCTATGAATAATGTGAATGAGTGATAGCCTGATAAACTTACTGTTGGTTGGACCAGGCCAAGCCAGCTGGGCATAACAAAGCCCCAGTACACTCATGATTGAACCCGCAATCAGATTTGATGTTGCATGATAGAGGAGGATGAATGGTGTAACAACCAAGAGTTATTTACTCTGGCGCACACATGAACACACTATAAAGAAGATGATGGGGAGTGGTTACCCCTTAGGCTGCAGTGAGTCAGTTGTGCTAGACAACAGGAGGACTCCCTGGGTCCTTCCCCATGTATTGCTCTTGTATATATACTAAAATACATGAGGTACTGTACAGTTGTAAATAAAGTTCAAAGTCCGATGTCTAGCATGTGACCGGTCACATGATGAGTCTAGACACTGGTCAGGTGATATGTCACATGACTGGTCATGTGACTATGAAAAGTTGAAAATGTAAAGTAAAGTAAATAGTCACATGACTGGTCATGTGACTTGGAAAATAAAAGTAGAAGTACAAAAGTGAAGCGTAAGTAGGTGCTGGTATGTCAATTGTAACAAATGGTTTGTCCTGGATGTGTTATCCAGTCAAGGATGGTGCCTTTGAGACTTTTGGTATTGTCTGACCTAGCCTAGATGCACCCCACTGGATCTTCCACATTTCAGGTTAGTAGTTTGCATAGAAAATAAAGTGATAAACTTACCAACTCTGCTATTATCCCAATTTCTTCTTCCAAGCTTGCCCTGATATGCTCTTCTAGACCTGGTATTATATCTAGAAGCATTTTGAAAATATGTTGCTCTCTCAATTCGCTGAAACAAAACATTCCTTTATGAACTTAAAACAATATGGAGAAAATGTGACTTACTCCACTCTGAGCACTTCTAACCCATGCTGGTCACTAGCAAATTCTGGGTCCAAGTCTTCCATACGCCGTGTGCCATTGACAACCAGGGTTTTGATATCGCACATAGCATGAGCAGTTTGTCCAAAATGTTGGCCATGGTGCACCAATGGGTCAGAGGTACATCTATCACATTAGCTAGTCAGTCCCATATGTGGCCAATCACACACCACTCACAGCTTTTTCCTTGGGCCCACTTGAAGAGCACTCTCACAATGTCGATGACCTGAAACGATTTGAGAGGGGCTTAGATGAGGCATGATGAGAGCCAGAGATCAGTTGCTAGGAGGGGATATCGAATGAAGAGAAAACTTGGGACTGGGGGTGACAGGCGCGAGTAAGTCTAGAAATTGGATATATAAGGCAGTGGTCACCTCGTGCAAGTGGTCAACTTGGTAAGCTGGGGAAATTTAACAAATAGACTATAAAAATGTAGCTTTTAACAAAGTTGAAAGGTGACCAGAGCACCAAGGACCCTGAATGTAAATGATGGTTGACTGACAAAGCTTGCCCATTCACCCTGTTTGTTGATTGGGACACCCAAGCATATAAATCTACTGAGTTATCCTGCAGTTGATCTGAGAGAAAAAGGCCCTTACCACAATTTTTTACTTGATCCCAACTGCTACCACAACTTACACAATATCCCTAATCTGTCCAATGTCCCAGCATACAGTGCCAGCCTACAGCAACATCAACTATGCTGGTCTCAGGTTTGATATGTTGAACAAGAAGGCACTATTTCTGCCATACTTAAAACGCATTCACCGGCACTATGATGCCGAAGCCGAAAACCTTCATCCTTGGTTGTGGTAAGTTGCTGTAGCACCTTGACGCTTCTCGCTATTAATGTCTGGGTTTAATTAGGCTGGTAACTTTGTCAGGCGAAAGGATAACACCTTCAGAGTTGGACCACCATTGAAAAATCTACAACTTTCTTGGCCCCTCCTGTCTTTGTGCTTTGAAGAAAGGCGAGCAAGGAGCTTATACAGAGTGTGTCATCACCATTGAAGCTGACGAGTTGTATGTTGGGGAGTACATGGCCAAGTGTGCAAAAGGAGACTGTGGATACTCAGGCAAGTCCTAAAGTTACCCCCAAACATCGAGCTGGCCTTTACTCACCATATGGTCCACTTATTAGTCAGTATTGAATGCATGTACACAAGGAATGGGCTGTTGGTAAACAGGTACCCCCGTCAAGGTAGGTTCTAGTCAACCAGTCAAAGTCAATATACTTGTATTTGCAACACGCTTGAACTCAGACGTACCAGATACAAACTCCCCAGTGCCCCCGCGTGTAGTCTATTCAACCAGATTGAGGCAACAGGTCATTGGTGCGCAACTTCCACACTTCATATACTTGAAATGACACTCTGAGAAATAGGCATCACAACTCTACTTACATCCATCCATAGACATAACAGGGCACCACGCGGAGAAACGGATGCACTTTTGGATCAAATTCTTCGTTTAGACGCCCTGCGACACCCTGGACTCACTGAGCCCAATTTCAGGAGGATATTTACCCAGTGCTCCTGAGGGTTGATCATGACAAAAAGGGCATTTTCCCACCACAACTGCATGATGGCTGTTGCCCTCGGAATAGAACCTACCATCATTGACCTTACAGGGGATGATTGAATTTTAGTGTATTATTCAATCTAGAAAATGTTTCAATTTTAATTAAATTTTTACACAAAATTTCCAACTGAGTGATACAACTTGAAAGAAAGAGATAATGAGACAACTAATGCAAACACTGCGAAAAACTACAGAAAACAAATTAATAAAAATACAAACATATTTACCTTGTAACAAGCAACTCACAAGAAAAGTTGTAGAACTCAAATACAATTATACAGGATGGACCAACACTGACTGACATTCTTGGAGGAAGTAGGATTGTTGAGAGAGTGAACAAAGCCTTCCAATATCATGGTGCACAGCTTGAAGCTCCACTCTGGCTTTCAACATACAGCCTTTGTACGAGTTAGCCTTGATGAGGCTATAACACCATTTGAACTCAGAAGTGCGCACAATTGCATGTAAAGCACTGCGTGACAACTGGGCATGGTGAAGTTGCTGCTGCAATGAAGCGGGGTCAGAGATTCAGTCTGTGGATTCGACAAAGTTCGTCGCTGCAAACATATTAGATGGCAAGAAGGCTAGAAAGTACTGGATGCACCAAGTTGACCGCAATCTCTATGAGATTCTGCATATTGGTCGTCTCCTCCTGAGTACGTGATATGATGATAGGTTCTATGCCAGGTTCAGAAGCCAAATCAGTAAAACGTGGATAGCAAGGAGATGCAGAACTATTGAGAACGCAACAATTGGCATAGCCTTGGGATGACCTTGATGAAGTTAAAGTAGCCTCGTCCCGCTTGGGCGAATATAATTGACTGGTGGTCAAAGCAGGTTGCAGGGAAATTGTGAGACACGTAGTTGACATCTGTATGGTTGAAATTACATGTAAAAATTTTATCAAAACCACAGAGAGCGAGGCATATGTGGCAGTAGCTATTCAAGTCTGAGATCTGGGACTTGGGTGAGGTGAGTGAAGCAGGAACCAGCACTTTGTTGTCATAATTTCCTGAGCATGCTTACTTATCGTGGATTCTGAGCGAGTTGGTTGAGTTGTCACTCACTATTCAACCAACTTCTGGCAACGGTACATTATTTTACATTTTACCTCTGGGGCAAGTTACCCGTCAATAGACATTGTCACATTTTCAGGGTCAAAATCCGGTTGCTTTGGGCGAAGCAAAGGTTTCTTGAATGCTTTCACCAGGTATATAATTTATATCTGACGTGCCTCCAAGCGTGTCAGGCTTGAAATCTACCACATCTTTCTATGGCCCCTTCTTTGGATGACCCGCCAGATGGATTCCACAACAATGAGGCCCTAGCCTCCATTTCAGCTGCACTACGTCCTGAAAATATTGAAGCATCCTTGCAAGCAGAGAATTTTCTATGGGGGTCTGGCCTCCAACCCTTGGCCCCTTTTGTGAGTTTCAAGTTCCATTTGTACAAAAATCGTTGATTCATCGCATTTGTTTTATTTGCAGATCCAGGGGTCATCTTCTGAAGGGTACAGCTCATCTAATGCCCATAGCAGTAATTTGAGCAGGGCTTCTAGTATTTGGGGTGTATTCACATCCCTTAATAACGAGGAAGGACGAGGCTTCATACCGGAAGACACTACTCTCCTAAACTTGGCTGCCCACAACATAGAGTATGATGTTGGTTTTGGTATGAACATTCTATGGCTAATACATTTATAATTGCATGTGTAAGCTGATCTTTGTGTTTGCAGGCGTGTCCTCCCGTCAGATCTGTTCGCCCTAGCGTAGTCAACCAGGATCCCCAGGTTCTTCAGCCGCCCCACGACTTGCGGCTTGTTAATCCTGCAGCAAATAACCCTCTGACTGATCCCTGTCTTTGCACGTTAGAATGGTACAAGAATATTCCTCGCAACAAAGCAGACGACTATGTAATTATCAAGGTTATGTTAACTTGTTTGCGTAGTACCGAGATCCTACATATTTTTTCCAATTTGGATGCAGACATACTCGACAATGAAGCTGTCGATGCTGAACAAAAATTCATCCGTGAGCATCCAGACAGTCGCAGTTTCAGTAAGCTCCATATTTTGATCTCATTAGGTTCATGATAATGACTTTTTTTTTAATAATATACCTGTGTAGCTTTCTATGTTCCTCACCAAGAAGTTTGCATGGATCAGCACTTCCTTGAGCTAGCCAGGACTAGGATCTGAAACCTTTGTACCAGCGATAGGAGATGCACTGCGACAATTGTAGATGGACCCTGTCCCAAAGATAAGGGAAAGGCAAACAAAAGGAAATCTTCACAAAAAGGTAAAGGTAGGCAACAAGAAGAGCCATCAGAAGATTGACCAAGTCAACCCTCCTCCTACAATGCGTGATACATAGATGGTCACACTCGGTCAGCAGAAGAGACAAAAGCAATACTCAATTGGCTTCATTCTCGACCCGGTGATATTTCATTTGCACATACATTCAACAAATTTGTAAGATTCAAGTTCCACATCAGGGGTGCTATTACTAATATCACTTAGGGTAATGTTTTAGGTCTGTACAACAACCCTGCTTTTGAGGAGGTCTTGTGCTGTATCCTTCTCTTACCTTCCGAGCGAGTGCTCACCTTAACTGACTGGCGTGAGTTGGGTATGATCCCTTTGACAGCCTATGTGCACATTGTTACATTGGTTAGTTTGTCATGATTCTTATACACTGTCACGTCACTCACATAGGTTTCACAGATATCACATTCGTTCCATCAGCTGTGGTTGGGTACCCACGCAACTTCACCAAGGCTTACATGGAGGGAATATGAGGGCCCGGTTTTTATTGACTCTTTGAACCACTTACAACAGCAGGCTATGGTAAATCAGGCATTCAATCAACGTAAAACAGAGTTACATGGTATTTTCCTTGTGCAGACTCGGTGAGTTTCAGCTGTGTGGGATGTTTATTGAGCGACTACTTACAATTATTAATATTTTTCTAGCAACTCTAATTTTTCTCATTCACCAAGTACCCCTGCTCTCGTAGCCAATCAGGGTACAACGGTTGACAATCCCACACTGCTATCATCAACCACTGCACTCCCAGTTCCAGCTGCTGTTTTCCATTCTGCTACCTCCTTAACAGCTGTTAGTGTTGCACCCCTTGTGACCATGATCACTGCCATTCAGTCCGACGTTGGTCAACCCATCAGTGCGCCAAATGTGATATTTGATGTCAATAATGGTTTGTTGAATCGTTTTTTTTTTTTCCCTGTGAGTTGTATACTGTTGGTTTACATTGCTTTCATAGATCTCCAAGAGGCAAATACCACAATGCCAACCATTTCACCATCCATGTCCAATGCGGGTTATGCTGGTTTAGGTGGTTACCAGTCTTTTGTTCATTGCAACCTAAGGCCACGCAGGAGGAGGTACTCATTTTAGTTGCTCCTACATCTATATCAATTTCTTTATATGATACACAGTTGTTTTCTGCTTCTCTGACCCTGATATAGTAGTAAATCTAGTGTTTAGGATACATTTGCTGCTTGTTTGCCTCAATTGGAACCTGCTGTGAATCCAAATTACCAATATCTCAGTCTCGTTGTCAACGGGTTATTATTGATATCATTGGACTTGAAGTGAAGGTGTGCGGCGTGTGGGATTGAATGAATAGTAAGCACTGGATGTCACTGAGCAAACCATGGACACAACAAGAAAGATTGCCCGATGCTGTTCCTGGTAGCAAAAGGGAGTGGAGTAGGATGGTGGGTGATGAGGAGAGGCCGAGTGCAAAGCTGCTCAACACCATGAATTTGGAGGGACAATCTTGTACTTGCGTCTACTTTGGGGGTGCTCCCCTGGTGGTCGTCCAAGAGCAAAGATACAATTGCGTTGTCAAGTGTGAAGGAGTGAAAGGAAGTGGGTATGGCTGAATCAACTGACAGCCCAATAACACAGCAGTATCGGGGCTATGTCTTATTCCTGAACACAACATGTATCAAATTTAATTCTGTTTGGAGTATAATATGCAATCTTACCAGACTCCAAAGCTTGCACCTAGAGAACTTGAAGCTACTGCACCACAGCGCGAGAAAAATAGCCATCCAGGATAGATACCACCGATGTAATTTGCACCATGCCTATGGCGGTATTAGACTATATTATTACTTAGAAAAGATAGGATGCATTAAGCATATTCTAACCTTCAGAATCATGCAAAGATTTACATCTCCTGATTTGATGGTTACCTCACAGGAGCGTTTGGATAGCAGCGTGGGCTTCATTAGTGTATATTGTAGTGTAAAATGTGAAATCTGTAAGGCTACTAAAAATGAAATCAGTGTAAGAATGATATCGATTTGTAAATGCTTACCTGCTACCCCGTTGCAATGGGTTTCCAAGCCCAATGGTACCTAACTACCCTCGTCACATTTGTCATCAACTGGAAGCGAGTCTGGAGGTCCATAGTTCCAGTGGTGGTGGTGGTGGTGAGTATTATTGATTTGGACGCCTTTGATATTGTTGAATGTACTGCAAGATGCGTCCACCTCTGTTGCAGCAGCGAGACTCTTGCTCATCCTCTGTACAAATGGTGAGCGAGCCACAATCGTGAACTAAAGAAGTTCACGATCACCATTTTATTTGCCTAAAAAGTTATAAGCGAGAACATTGAACAATCAAAGGAATAAGTAACTTACCTTTAAAGCCTCTAGTTGCTCTTGTGCTGGGGATAGTTTCCTTGGTAGATACTGAGAGAAAAAATATGGTTAGTTTTGTTGGTATGGGTGTAATTGGGTGATGTTACTTACTACAGACATGGCAAGACCTACTGTAATGCCAAGGACAAATCCATAGCTCAAGTTTGGATTGACATTAGCTGTAAAATGATGATAAGTATATTATCGTACCGATCAATAGAAGTTGCTGGGTGTACATACCTGGTAATTGTATCAATCAAGCTGCTGGTACCGTGGTTGAGGTCTAGGGTTGTCACGTATACTCTACAACAGCTATCTACAGAGTGTAAATGTTGATGGCTTGTATTCAATAGAATGCGCGGTAGGTGTTAATGATTGAAGCTGAATGATATATCTAATGTATTTCTTGAGGGTTTTGTAGTTACATTGATCATATTACAAGACCTAGAAAAGTGGAAAATATATGAAATAATTTGTTTTGCGGATAAAAGGAACTCACTGTTTGCTAAATTTGTCTACTGCAGAGTTCCCAAAAACCAAAAAAAAGGTCCCTGCTAACTAGTACTATGGCATTTTCTGGGGATCCAGATATGAAAATGTGGGATACACACTGGCATACGACCAAGATTATGAAGGTTCTGTTTGTATTCCATTAGTCAAGAATCCTTGAGCTTGATGTAACCTACTTGGTAATAGAGAATAGAGTTATCATTTCTGTTACAATTGATGTACCAGTACCTACTTACGCTTCACTTTTTTGTACTTTTACTTTTTCCAAGTCACATGACCAGTCATGTGACCATTTACTTTACTTTACATTTTCGACTTTTTCATAGTCACATGCCAGACATCGGACTTTAAACTTTATTTACAACTGTACAGTACCTCATGTATTTTAGTATATATACAGGAGCAATACATGGGGAAGGACTCAGCAAGTCCTCCTGTTGTCTAGCACAACTAACTTGTTGAAACCTAAGGGGTGATCCCTTCTCTCTCTCTCTCTTATGCGTCTAAGTTGTGCACCAGAGTAAGAAACTCTTGGTCGTTACAATTTCCAGTTGAATAGACATTGATACTGTTACGATAACACAATTCTCGGACCTTCCCTTTACTTTTATTCTCTGCTTTAACCTTGTACTTTAGCTTTCACACATGGTGCCACGCAGCATTTCCCTTTTTGTCCAAACTCCCCTTTCTCGCGCCGCGTTGCCTTTCTTCCTATTATAAACACAACTCTCTCACACAGTGGAGCTGGCCATGCGGGCTAGGCCCCATGACATCATCAGCTACTGTCGCTGTCAACTGTATAGTACACATGTACAAATAACCCTGTAGTAGTATATATACCCCAATAGATCCAGGAGACTCCTCAGCGAGTCCTCCTGTTGTATACCAACTAACTCACTGCAGCTTAAGGGGTAACCACTCCCATCATCTTCTTTATAGTGTGTTCCTGTGTGCGCCGGAGTAACTAACTCTTAGTTGTTACAGATACAATATTGTTGTGACCTTCAAGTTTGATGAGCAAAAAGTGGCAATTCAATATAATGGTATTGATTGATCAGTCTGGCCGCTGAGTTTGAAAATAGTTCTCACGCATGGATATTGGTATCTGGAGCCGCCATTCTCCTTCTCAGTTTTAACCAATTTACCAATTCTACCAGTGTATTGTTTTGGGACAGCCTTTTTTGCAGTACATCTTCCTTACTTTCTTTCTAGTCCTTTACTGATCACTCATGGTTCAAAAGGATTTTATTCCATGCTCCAGACAAAGAACCTCGAAGACTCACGAGTCAGGATTAAAGGTCACTATTTCAGGTTGTCGAAAGGTTGTGGTAGAAGTTCCCAAGTTGAAGTCGTGAGTTGTCCCTTAAAGATGTAGTTTTACTTACCTGTTTCTCTTTCTTCTAGAAGACGCTCTTCTCGTCATAAATCCAGCCGCCAGGGTCCTAACACGTCAGCTACTCCTAACATCAATTTAGTTGAAGGTGCATAGTCTATTCTTAGGCTATCTATGCACAATGTATTCCGTGACTTATCAAACAAATTATTTATAGGAAATTCTGTACAGGAGAATGTGAATGGATGTAATTGTTCTTTGGGCTTGCCATCGTCTGATCATGGTCAGTCAGTTTTATATGTATCGTCTTTTTTTGACTTGAATGCTTAACACATACGCAGTTCATCCAGATGCTCAAAAAAGGATAGAAATTGAAACCTTTCTCAGCACCATCAAAACTACCGCAGAAGATATGCAACAGCATGTATGCGATATAGAACAAGAACTCGGACACTGGAGAAAAAGGGTGCATCACTACAGATGTCAATGGCTAATGGAGGCCAAAGAGAGACAGTTGCTATCTTCTATGGTTCCTGGAGGTGATACCATATTCTGCAAAAGCCAAGCTAGGCCTTGGCGATCATCTCCCCCCTCCCGTCCTGTACCTGACATAGGTTCCCATCAAAAAATGCCCTAGGAAATATACTGATCTGAATACTGTTGAACCGGAAAGGATTTAGAAGGAGCTAGTGAATTCTCCCTGGAAATTGTCGGAAATGGAGATGATTGAAAGGCTCACCAAATTTACTTATAGCTTACTAAGTAGCTGTTTCTGCATAGTCTCATAGTAATACACCGCACTTTCAATAAAAACTCCACTCCCTGCTATCCTATCAAAATTGTGAGTAATGACTGAGTAGTTCCTGAGTAATGCCCCTCATCAGTAACGCATCCAGTAATACCACCATTTCCAGATAGGCATTTTTGACTCTGATTGATCAGTACTCAAGCTCAAGCTTTGAAAAATTAATATATACTCTAAGTCCATTGACTCTATGTATGCGTCATATATATGGGTAGTTTCAGATTGAAGATTGTGCATATACATAGTAACTTGATTCACATTCATACAAATTTGGATTCAATGTTATCTGGGGAACTATATATACTCGTACGTCATCTAGAATGCTAGACTGTACATGCACCAACTTACTAACTTACCAACCTACCAGTTGCAGCTGGTTTAACTATACACTGACAGTGGCCGCTGTATTACATATATGAAATTCTATGCCTTTGAATGGTTGTGCCTACATTCATTGCACCAAAATAACCACCCCATCGACATTTGTGCTTTCATTCCCTGTTCCAGGTCATTATTATATGCCCGTAGAAGCTCAAAATCTGTTGCACTCAAAGGCAATGTACAGTGCCCAAATTTCTGCTGCTGCTCGTGCTCTTCTTCACCACGACATGCATGCCAATAATTGTCACTTAGATCTGGACCTGGAAGAAAAGGGAGTGCACAACAACCACAAAGCTTTCATGAAACAAAGCTACGGTGAAATTGGTCATAGTTTGAGGTCATCATCCTTGCAGGCAACTCCGGGTGACTTGTTTGATGCAGTCAGTATTTTCCATCCCTAAGTTCAAAGCCACAACTGATAGTGATTTAGGCGACTGCTTTAGACAGGACCAATGGTGGATTTACACTGTGTTTACAAATACCAGGGATATGGCCTGTTGAGGACACTCAAGGAGCTGTAACAACCAAGAGTTAGTTACTCTGGCGCACACTAAGACAAACTATAAAGGTAGTGATGAGGGAGTGGTTACCCCTTAGGTAGGACCGAGTTAGTTGTTGGTATACAACAGGAGGACTCGCTGAGGAGTCTCCTTGATCTATTGGGGTATTTATACTACTACAAGCTATTTGTACATGTATACTGTATAGTTGATGGAGGCAGTGGCTGATGATGTCAGAGGGTGCAGCCCATGTGACCAGCTCCACTACATGAGAGAGTTGTAGCTAAAATAAGAAAAAGGCAGTGCAGCACGAGAAAGTGGAGTTAGAACGAAAAGGAAAGTGCCGCATGGCACAGAGTGTGAACTACAGTAAAAGGTTAAAGCAGAGAATGAAAATTTAAGGGAAAGGTCCAAAAATTGTGTTATTGTAACAGGAGCTGTTGTTTTAGAAGACATTATCATAGATGTTTATTTATCTCCACGGGAGATTGAAAACCATCAGAAGCAATATGAGCAACTCATTGCTCAGATGGTGCAGATTTTTGCAGAGGAAATTGCCATCCCCCATTTACGCAAGTTAAGAAGCCACTGCAGGGTTTCCACAGTTGATATACCAACATTGAGCCGACCAAAAACTCCCCGCCAGGCAAATTTGGATACTTTTATTATACCACCCTCCATCCAAACAGGCAGCTCCCATCATTGCTTCTAAGCTCATGGTAAACATTGCCTCAAAAGTCTCTTTGCTGCTGCGGTGGGTGTGGCTCCGGATTCTCCCCGGGACACATGGCTGCACAACAGCCATCATACTTCATTAGCCTCCAGTCCCTCAATACCACCTGATTTTTCACCCCCCCATCCGCATACCATGACCATTGCTGACAGAATCTCATCAGATCGGATGTGTAAATGGCATGGCATTGCACAAACAGAAATTGAGAGCGCCCCATTCCACGGATGCATCCTCTGACAACATAAAAGCAAGTCAAAACTCTGCGCAGCTTTTGATAGATACAGGTATTGTTCGGTATCCAGAAGATAAATCCGGCCTTGAAGCAATTTTCAGTATTGGCCCTAATACCGACAACTTCATTAATACCTCTAACCTCCCTGACGAGACAATCACTCGACTTCGCCAAATAATATCCACCAATCGCAGTACTCGTTGGTTTGAAGTCCTACAAAGGGATGGTTGGAACCTAGGAAAAGAAGAGGCTGTGAAGCTATGTCATGCTCTCTTCCTTGATTTGAAGATGACGTCCATAGTTGCTGCCAAACCCCAGGAACATTTTTTCACTGGGATAGGATTCTCTTCCAGTACGACATTACCAAAAGCTAAACCTTGTTTATTCACCTATTTCAGGCTGTTTTTTGAACTAATTCTCATTACATGGCTATTTTTTCTGTTTGTCTTTTAGTAGTGATCAATGAATTGCCAAAATATACCGATGCATTGATATCATATAGTGGAGATAGTAAAATACATTGCATTATCAAGTGAAAAAAAATAAGCATTTTTATTCCCAATTCTCATCAATATTCCCAGTATTTGCCCCATCTCGTGGTTGCTCTTGCTCCTGTTCCTGCTCCCCTTCACGCTTGAGGTGATCAATATCTGGTGGTGAAGTGCTGGCCACCCCTTTCCTCTCCTTGCGTGACTTGTTCTTCCGGCGGTTACTGAGGTATTGTTTGACCAATTCTGAGGTAGCCCAGTCATTCTGAAAGCGCGCCAAATAGGGGTGGTAGTGTCTTGCCTACAACAATGTCTGTCTGTAAATGATTCTGCCTATGATTGCATTAACTTACCAGTCTAAATAAATCTCCTAGTTCTTTTTCAGGTTGACTTCAAAAATTAGCCTGCATATTGAGACGTAGCTGGTGTACTAAATCCCAGATGGTCGACTGTCGTCCATCTCAAGTTTGCAAGACAAAACCGGTATTCCTACTGTGACTAGGTGTTTTTTGTTTGCTGTCCATCAACACTTTTTGGCTTGACTTCTATCTGGTCTCTTTTCATCATCCACTGTAATTGTACCAAGCAGACGTGTATTGTGTCCATTGAATTCGGCAATTATACTGTGCAAGAAGTTCATAGTGAGTTTATTGGTCATCTTTCTAGCTGACTCGCTTAGGGGGGGTGTGACTCAAATTTTACATTTCAGACTTATTTCAATTGATATGGCTAGCCAGCTTATAGCAAAGAAACTATGTATTTGCTGTGGACAATTAGTTAGTGCACAAACAGAGTATCGTCACTGCGCATTACACCAAGCACCTCTCAGGATTAAATCATCATCTCCATGGCAGAGACAACATCTTGGTAGCGCAGGAATGAAGTCGCAGAAGAATCCAACCACAGTATCAGCCAATGCTCACAACATTGATTCTGCAATGATCAAAAACATAGGGTGGGAAGGAAATGTTAATGATCAGAATGAGCTTCCTCCAAATATGGTTGAATCAGTACTATCGGATGCTGTCCATGATCTCAGTACAATACCAGGGGCCCATTACCACAATACTGTGGCTGCTAGTAGTGATAGCAAGGATGATTCCACGGAATTGGCAAGTGAATCAGATACAGGGTTGTCAGGACTGCCCTTCTGGGAAGAGCTAGGGCTGAGCTTGGAACAGGAAATCTGTGCTGTCGGTGAGCATTGCTGATCAAGTTTGAGATTGAGTTTAAGTACTGATGATTTGAATGTTAGCTGATGAGTTAAGTGATACGGATCTGCAAATCCTGCGCGCCTTCGCACTCAAAGTCAGATCCCATATGAACAGCGACACCTTCAATAAACTGCCATCTGTATTTACATCTGAACCGCTCCCGAGTTGGAAGGAAAGTACACAACGAGTGGCCTTCATTTCAGGATTTGAACCAGTATTGTATGACTGTTGTGTCAATTCCTGTTGCTGTTTTGTTGGGCCGAACTCCTCGCTCGACAAGTGTCCTCACTGCAATACGTCACGCTACTTAGAGGGACAACAGAGGAAACATTTCATCTATATTCCCTTGATTCCTCGGTTGGTTGGTTTCTTCAAGAATCCTAATTTGGTGTACAAGATGAGCTATCGAGCAAAAGAGCATGCTCATAAACCCAGATTTATTGGCGACATGATGAACGGTTCTGTATACTGAGGGTTGCTGAACAAGAAAGTGACTATAGGCAGGAATACATTACCTCACTGCTACTTTTCAGATCCTTGAGACATTACATTAGGGCTAGCCACAGATGGATTTGCTCCTTTTTGCCGTCGAAATTCAACAATCAGGCCCATCATTCTATACAACTTCAATCTCCCTCTGGACATACAGTTTCTCAAGGAATTCATTATCTGCTTAGGAATTATACCTGGACCATCAAAACCCAAAGATTTTGACTCATTTATATGGCCTATGGTTGAGGAGCTTCTTCAACTAGCTGCTGGGGTTTGCGCTTTTGACATTGTTGCTGCAACTATATTTGCCCTTCACGCGTATTTGCTAATAATATCAGGAGACATTCCGGCAGTTTCCATGGCCATGAAGATGAAAGGGCACAACGGCTTCTCTCCATGCCGCGCTTGCAAGATTCTTGGTGTTCGATTACCAGGTTCTCAAGGAAAAGCCTACTATGTTCCTCTTGATCGCCACAACCATCCAGATGCAAATGGTTCTTCGTCCATTTGAAGGTACCATCCGACTGAACTCCCCCTACGAACACACGAGGAGATATTTGCCCAGGGACGAGAAGTTCAGTTAGCGCATACAGCTGCTGAATCTGAACGTCTATTGAAACAATACAGTGTCAAAGGTTCATCAATTCTTGGATATCTTCCATCTGTATCCTTTCTGAACTCTTTCCCATACGATTTCATGCACCTTATATGGGAAAACATCATACCCAACTTGATACATCTGTGGACTGGTGAATACAAGGGACTAGATGAAGGAAATAATAAACCTATGTGAAACTACAATGGATGTTAGTTTAAGGTGATTTCTAATAAATGTAATGTAACATACCTCAGCCGCTGCCCAAGAGGCTATAGAAACAACTGAGGTATTTCTATACTAAACCCCTCACTACTTATAGTCGGAGATGCTACTCGCTACAGTATAATGACTCCTAGGAGAACAATGGTTACTCCATGGAGTGGTGGCTATGCTCCATGGAGAACAATGGCTGCTTCGGCAGAGACCGGGTTTATCCGGTTTTGTCAGGAAACCAGGTTTACCACATAGACAAACAGGTATGGGAGGCCATAGGCAAAGCAACTGTAAATTCAGGGGCAACAATTCCTTCAGCATATTTTGCCCATCCGCCAGATTTTATCCATGACCGCTCAGCAGACTTGTGGTCCTTCTGGACACTCTACTTGGGTCCTAGCTTGCACCATCTATGAAGGTGATTTGGACTAAAACATTCATGTTGTAGATAAAAAAATCACTTTTAACATATGTGTATATTAGACCTTTACATTTTTAAGTTGTGCCCGCACATGGTGATGAAAATCACCCTTACAGAAAGTGAATATCACCTAGCTACATTTTATATCTGTTTTGAAAGTTGAATAAAGATAAATCACCCAATCTGAGTGATTATCACTTGCCAGCGGGTGATTTTTAAATGACCCATAAATGACCCTGCACCAAATATCAGCTGGTTTGTTGATTGTGGATATTCATCAGGTTATCAGGTGATTATCACCTTTTCTGGGGTCTACAGTGATACAGTCATAAGGAGTATACAGCCAGCTGATATTTATCAACATGCTGTTTCAATATTATATCTAGCAACACTCACATGATCCCACATGTATATTTACCACTGTCCAGCAATATAAAGCAAGCCACAAATGCCCCCCACGGTATATGGTGCATATGTAGCATCCAATGTTTATATCAGTAACATAACATGGCCCTCCGGGGCAGACCTGGACCCGGATTGGCAGCTGTCCTGCATTCATAAGTCCTTATCTTCAAACTCCATGGAATTGAGAACAGGAGTCATTGAGAAGTCATGTATAGTATGCTGGTAGATGTAAGATCTACATGATGAATTCATTTACATTGTACTATGTATTTTGGCCCCATCACATTGTTGTCCCCTCCATTTGCACCCATCTTCCAATGTAAGCTGATGACTGGTTCCAATTTCCAAACAATCTGTGATGTGTGTTGAAGTTGTACATGTGGATGTTTTAAGTTAATGTGCTCACTTTTTGATCCCCCACCTTACCACTTCCCTATTGCCATGTCGCATGTTGACAAACACGTCTTCATACATGATGCTTTGGTGGAAGACAACTAATTCACCCTTGAAGGAGATTCACAAGTACAGGTTTTGCAGAGCAATATTGGTAGGGCAGTGACTATGGCTATTGCTGTAATACACTGTGAAAACAGCTTGATCTGTTTGTACGTACTTGACATGGAGTTTTGTGTTTGATGGGTTCTGCAGATATAATTATAGGTGAGGATGTGTGAAAGGCAACATTGATGTTTGCTGGAAACATGGAACATCAATGTATGATGCCCTGTTCATTCTGAATGTGTATGCTCTGATGTTCATGTTCTAAAAAGTAATTTTTGTTGGTTGGTTTGTAGATATTCGGATGGATATACTTGCCTTGCGCATTATCTTGCTGACTTGAAGGTGATAGGATTTTTGTGGGATGGTGTTGATGAGCTATGGCTTATCAGATGGTCAGTATGTCTCTTATCAATAAATAATGAGCTAGTGTACTCAGGCATCTGTCACAAGTTTTTGAGCAAGCGAACCAGCTCATGTTCACATTGCACCTCAGCTGCATCTGACCCACTTGCAATGTACCACCATATGGTGCGGGCCAGATCGTTCATATTGAAACAGGGAAAGATAACATTTACAGTGTTTTGGGGGCAGTTTTTTATGATCACCAGGGGACCTGATGTTACCTGCTGATTTTTTTTTGCAGCAATGCAGGTTGCAATGGTGTTTGGCCTCATTTTGGATGGTGGGCCTGTGATGTCTTGATAATGTGCTTCATCCCACCAATCTGCAATTCTCTGGTCTCAATTGTAGAATTGACAGAGCGGGGTGATAGTTCTCCAATCCATTAAGAATGCCAATTTGGCAAGGACATCTGGATTGAAAACATTTGATTGTAGTGAAAGAGGCCTAATTATGGCAACAACTTCTTCCAGGCTCTGTATGGCTTCACAACTATGGATGACAGCACCAGATGCTATCCTGTTTGGCATTCATTTCAGTTTTTCAACACACTGTGTTGGGTCAGCATTCAGACTCCCTTTTGATGGAACCGTAACATACCTTTTTACCAATTGTCTATGTAGGGTGTTCTGCTTTGAGTTTTTTCAGTATTGTTGCAGTGCCCTGACAAGGGTTGCAGCACAACATCTTGTCAATTTCAGCTAAGAGATCTGTTTCTGGTTTCCGTTGAATGCATAGTGTTCAAGGTTTACAACGCATTTATGGTGCACATCAATTTATAAAGTACGCCACAGATGAAGTCATACATATGTCATACAAAAATTCAGCATGGTCTGATTGCAAGTAAAAGTATTGGCGTGTATTGGAATCTAAATTTCAACTGTGGTGTCTTCCACGGTGTCTGCATTTCCTGAGTGCTCCGGCCGGTCTAATAACAAAACACTCTGCAGCTCAAAATTGGCCACCCAGTTCACCCACTTATGGGCTTTGGCAGGAGCAGGTTTGGCAAATCCGTCTTTCTTTCTGTAATGGGTTACCCAGGCTTCAATAACTACCACATCTTGATTCTTGAGATTTGCTACAGGATATGTAGCCATCTTCCTCTTTCCAGTGATTGTCTTGCATGCGTCAAACACTTCGGTGAAGGGGTGGACCTGTGATTGGTAATGCTGATCAGGCAAGAGCGGTCTCCCAGTAGTAGAAAGCAACAGCTTACAAGAGTATTTTTGCCTGGCACTCGTGTATTTTGCCAATGAGGAAAACAAATCGCGCTCCAGCTAGTTTCAGTAATATCTGACACATATTACATATTAAGTGTTATCACAGTAATTTATGACGTGCACGTACCAAGCTATGGAGTAGATCTCAAGGACAGCATCTTCCTTGCTATGCTGGCCGCGTCCATAAAAAATGGAACTACCGTTATTGCTACATGCTCGGAGGGTCCGCCTGTTTTGTCAAAGAACCATAAGCCTGAAACTTGTCCTGTCACCCATACCATGGCTGGATTAACACCTCCTGCGTGGCAGAGGATGCTGCTCTTATCTGCAAATTTTGCTTGTACACTCCAATCAAGCCCCTGCTCAGGCACCTTGTCTAATGTGTACATGTGAGCCTTGGCATTGCAGTACATAGCAAGTTTGGTTACTTGGCTGCACATTAGATGAGGTCAAAGTGTGTTTATTGAATAATGCCTTCCATATGTACTTGCGTGTAGTAGTGTTGAGTTCATTTAACATCTCCTGGTCCAAGACAACATTGCTGGCATAATTCATTCCATATGAGCTGCTGCACAACAGTGATGCACACTTACAAGTTATCGCTAGGTCCATATTCCTGAGTAGTGTTTGCGTACTCTAAAGGTTGTGATGAGCTAAAACAGTGCCAATGAGTGCATACCACAATATATAAATTTCACATACTCAAGTGTCAATTCACTATCCTCGTTGTTGTCAGCAATGATTGTTACAATTGACATACCAGCACCTACTTACGCTTCACTTTTACTTTTACTTTTTCCATGTCACATGACCAGTCATGTGACCATTTACTTTACTTTACTTTATATTTTCGACTTTTCATAGTCACATGACCAGTCATGCATGTGACACATTACCTGACCAATGTCTAGACTCATCATGTGACTGGTCACATGCTAGACATTGGACTTTAAACTTTATTTACAACTGTACAGTACCTCATGTATTTCAGTATATATACAGGAGCAATACATGGGGAAGGACTCAGCAAGTCCTCCTGTTGTCTATCAGCAACTAACTTGTTGAAACCTAAGGGGTGATCCCTTCTCTCTTCCTCTTCTTCTGAGTGTTTTTTATTGTGCTCCAGTGCCCCAAGACTGTGTCTTGTTCATGTTGTCACAATGATATTATTGCTGGATCTTGGTTTCTTTGGAGGAGATGGAGTTGGAGACTTGTCCACCACTTTACACTTGTTTTTGGATGGTGCTATAGGCAGTGTTTGTTAGATTGTGCAGTGTCTTTTGAATGTGCAGTCTAGACCTGTGCGGGGCACAACAGCTTATATATTTTTGAAACAGGTAAAAGTATTAAATAAATTTCAAAAGAAATTGAGGTCACATATTTGCAATGGGGCATATATATTCAGGGGGTGGTTGCATGATTGATCGAGCTGGAACCACCTGTCTCATTGCCAACAATCAAGTCCTCAGACACTTCCATTTGCTTGGATTCCTCAGCAGCTGATAAGAATGTTGGTCCGGACAGGACAATGCGCTGAACAGGCTTGTTCAGCGTTTCAGTGTCTTGTTCTTGCCGTACAGATTTACTCGGACAGAGCTATGTAGTTGTTAGCGGTGTTGATTTGCAGTCCAGGCTAAAGAGAATAGGTGCATACCTCATTCAACACCCTAACCGGTATGAGCTGCAGAATGTGGGTCAGGACCAGGTGGCATTTAAAGTACTTATGACCGTTATGGGCTTTCTTGTACGCTATTTGAAAGTTGATGCTAACATTTACAAAGTTGCCACAACTGATGGACAGAGGGTTGCAGGCCACTTCCAGGCCGGTTTTGGAGATTTTTCCAATCTGTACTTTATCCAGGACACGCCAGCATTTTGCTACTGATGTAGAAGCAGTGGAGCGATCATCGGTACAATCCTTTATTTCTGGTTTATGCTCATTTTCATCAGTTACCTGTTGGATTTTTTATTAGCCAAGAAACGGGAGTGTAATGTGATACTTGCCCTTGTGAACACCCAGTGGCTGATGTACAGGTCCCCTTGATCCAGATCTCCTAGGTCGACACTTGCTTTTTAAGACATCAACTTTGTGTGGATGAGGCGTTGAATATTATTGATTGCCAACTGCGTTGATATCCAGGGTTGGTTGTTGCCTTTTGACGTCAAAGTAATATGGGGTGCACGGTGTTTGTGATGCATTCCGGATCACTAAGACCTCAATTAGCAATATCCATGTTGATTGGAATGCATTCACCTGTTCCAGTTTCCGAAGTGAGACACATTGAATCTGCCGAGAAAACCCTGTACATGGATGGTAACAGCATACAGAATATCCTCTTCTGAGTCTCTTAGTAACTTGTACAAGACCAGGTATTGTTTATGGCGCACGATATCATCCCCACTGTAAGAGACATAGGCCCACTTGCAGACACTGTCATATTCAGCTGGCATGTGCTGCTAATCTTGCAGTTCTTCAGCCCAAGATATTTTGCACGCTTCCACAACCTTTGCAGGCCACTGGTTGCGTATTAAGTTGCGTTGCTCATCTGTGACAGGTGCATTAGCAGAGAACTGCCTCAGAGGGATCATGGTGTGAGAGTCAAGTGAGTAGATGAACAATGAAGTGGCGAGAGAGCTTTAAATACAGACGGCAATGGGGGAATGAGCTTAGCTAAAACAAAACCTTAGAAAATGAGGGTGGCCGATCTCTGCTGTATATCAGCACTGTGTACTTTTATTGCATTGACATCTTCCACACCATTATCAGAGAGATGGCTCAAAAATTCTCTTGTGAAAATGTCTTGGAAATCCTTGCATGTTGTGCACTACCAGAAATCTGGAAATTTGCATCAGCTTCGTGCAACGGGTGTGCACTTGCCCGCTACACCATATACCGTTGAGTTGAGGCTGTAATGGGATTATTTTACCCAGATCCTTGCAAACTCTTGCAGTTGATTGATCAGTTTCAAGCAGTTGTAGGTGGCATGATTCCCACCGTTGTCTTCAATATGGCAGCTGTCAGTATTGGCTGCAATATGGAGATGTATATACCCATGGAGCACTTTGCAGTGTTTTTGAGGATGGTGTTAATGGGTAGTGATTATGAGATTGTGTATTCGAGTGAGCTTGGTTTTGAAGAGATCCTTACAAGTGGTGTATGCTGTGTTGACAAGATGTGCAACCGGTCACAAACCCTGTCACTCATGTCAGCGACTACTCCCCTTTTGTCGGGACCAATTTTTTGCACCGCATTAACAGTCACAATGAACTATATTTCAAGCCATGGCTTTTTTTTTGGCATATCCCAACCTTCTGTGTATGCATCGTGGGTTAATCAATCCACTATCATTCCCTACTTTATTGTCGCCTTCATCAGACATTGTGCTTGTCTTGGTGAGGACAGACCACCAAGGATACACCATTCATGTCCACCCACTGCTGTGGAATGCCCATATAGGTGCCTGTTGTCAGTATCATTCATGTCCCCAGACGTCCAGAAACAGTCACAATTGTAGCTGTTTCACCGTAGTATTTGGATCAAACAAAGGGCAAGATGTGACAACGCCAACAAGACACAGTCTTGGGGCACTGGAGCACAATGAAAACAACACTCAGAAGAAGAGGAAGAGGTGGGAGTGGTTACCCATTTGGTAGGAACAAGTTAGTTGTTGGTAGACAACAGGAGGACTCGCTGAGTCCTTCCCCATGTATTGCTCCTGTATATATGTATATATACTCAAATACATCACATGATTGGGAATGTGACTTTGAAAAGTTGAAAATGTAAAGTAAAGTAAATGGTCACATGACTGGTCATGTGACTTGGAAAAAGTAAAAGTAAAAGTACAAAAAGGTGAAGTGTAAGTAGGTGCTGGTATGTCAATTGTAACACAAGATAGGGATATCAAAATGAAGCTCACAGCAGGATATGATGATGAGCTTACCATGGAGTGGCAACTTGGAGGATACCGACATGACAGTCAATGTATGTACGCTGAATCCTCGTTGGTCATAGAGTCCAGAGAGTTGCAGGGACTTAGCAGTGTGTGAAAGTAGGAATGGAAAGGGGTGATCAGCACTTAGCTAGGTTAATGATAATGTCAGTAAAGTATGGGGTCAGAAATGCTGAGTCGTCGGTGTTTATGTGAGGTGTGTGTGTGGTGGCACATGTTTGTTGTTTGTAACATCATACGTGTAGACGCACAGGCATGTAATTGTGGTGCAAGTTGTTCAAACGTCCACACACGAGGCTTCAGGCAATAACAGGTATTGTTTCAATCTTACACCCGTAGTGGTGCAGAAAATACAATTTTGTCTTACACGTTGTTTCATAAATATGTCCAATAATCCACTGGCTATCTTTCTGTCATGCCATCCATGTCACCAGCCCGCTGTTTCCATTGTCCCTTTGCCAATGAATACTTGCCCTCCACTTCACTCGCTATTCTGTCACTTTGCCCGCATCCCATCGGTGTATTACTGCGTATAATGTTATGAAGTACCAGTTGGGCCAGTTTCTGGTCACGTTGATGTTACAATGTGACTGTTCTCTGTCAATTTGGAAGGTAAGTAAGTTGTGTTTAAAGTCGACATTGACACTCTTACCTTTATGGAGGATGTAAGTCAGGATGAGACAACTCTAATTTTTCCTGGGTAAGCCTGTCAAGGTCTTTTATACGTGCAATTTCATCTTGGAACTCTCCTGTTAGCCTCCTGCAGACAACATTTGATTTGAACCAACAAGCAATCACAATGCCTGCCAACAACTTTGCACGAGAGAGCATGACATAGGCACTTTGTAGTGTTCTGCATGCCACTAGATTGACGATCACCCCCATGAGAGAATGACCTTAGACGTTGTAGTCAGTGAAGGTGCAGGCAGGGATGAGCAAAAGTTGTATGTGACTGATTCACAGTTGGAAATCAAGGTTGTTGTTCTTGTATACGAAGTAAGATGGTGAGGGTAGGATAGGGATGGTTTCAGGGGGGAGTGAAGGAGCTTGAATATGTCTCTAGTTTTTTCTTCCAGTTACAATAATTGGTGAGTCTGTGAAATCTTGCGGATTGTTATGCTAAATGCCATTGTCCAGATTCAAGTGTAGTGTTCCGTAGTTGGAAACAGAGTAATTGTCCCTGTGCCTATTTGTTCAGGAGACATGGGCTGAGAGCAGCACCATGCTTGACCATCACAAATGTGCATCAAGAGATTCACAAAAGAAGGGTCCGTAGCAGCCCTCCAATTTTTCTTCAAAATGACAACCTTTTTGACTTGTTGCCACAGAAACGCTCTGTGCAAAGCACTTTGGCCATGATGGATTTGTGCGGTTGCAGGTGAGATGTTGCGCACAAGGCTGTGACAGAAGAGCAACTTTTATTTTACAGGTCTTAGCTGCCCAAAGCCGCCAGTAAAGATGATGTTCACTCCACCAAAAGGTTTTTGTGCGTTAATGTGGTCCCAAGCCCAATATTGACTGATTTGATGTGATATCTGGCTCAACAGCTTGGCAGATATCATTGACACCTTGTTAATAACTAGATATTTTTACGTTGTGCCAGATTCTTTCCAGTTCGTCACACTTGCTCTGCCAATTTGATTATGGGAGACCGGTAAGGGCGTGGATGGTGTGGCCATGGATAAGTACTACAGCATAACCAGTTGGTGCGCTGAGCAGGACTTTGCCTTTGTCATTGCAGTGTTTCATGAACTCTACCATACAGTTTATCACATGGCTCTTCCCAGCACCACCAACACCAGAGATGTAGAGGAAAAGTTGTTTATGTGATTGCAATAGGTGGTGTTCTGCAACAATTCACAGAGCGCGTTGTTGTTCGGCATTCAAATGGAGGCCCATGCCATTGATAACAGATTAAAGGTGGTGAGAGTTAAAGTTGTCATGCAATTGTTGCGAAGTAATATTGCTTTGAACAATTGTCAAGATAATAATTGATAGCTCAATACGACTTGGAATGACAATGTTGCGTCGAGCTTGCAGAGTCGGTGGACGGACCATTGTTGATGTCCGGAGGAAATGTCCTAGATCTTTTTTGGCGCCATAAGACCTTCATGAGAGTGGTGTGCATGTCAATGATTGGTCGATCAGCATCAGTAATTGGTAAAGCATTGCCGTGAGGGGGAGATTGGAAGTTAGTGATGTTATCCATGATGCCAGAGTGTTCTGCTGCAAATACAACAGGATTATGTAGTGCATCATGCCCAGTGCTGTCCAGAAAGTCCTCACCTTCTGTGGAATTGTTGTCGTCAACCATGTTGTTCAAAGTTTCAGCAATTGTGCCAAGATCATTTGCTGGGACAGTGCCAGGTAAGATGTCGTGCAAAAGAGGCGATGTTTGCTGAGTGTGTCTATCAGTCTCATACTTGTCACGAGCATCCCGACATTTGTTTTCTACATTCATATTGTTGATTCCCATTTGTAGAGCGGGGGGAAAGTTATGTGCAAGAAAAGTCTTGTGCCATGTGTCATTGGAGGGCTTTAGTGTGACCCATGGCTTGAACAAGATCAACATGACCCGTGACCACTCCTTGCATTCACAATCACCCCTGTCTGCTCTGGGCAAAGAATGACCCAAGAGGAGAGGAACACTTGCGACGTCACGTACTCTCAATAGGTGGGAGTGACTTTGGGGATGGGAAGGGTGAAAGTCTCCTCTAATATCCGCTCTACGGCTGCGCTTTGTGTGATTAACATTGTGGTTGATGGGCAAGAGTCCAGCAACTTGCTGAACTTCACTGTCCTTTGTGACTTTTGTAGTAGTTTCTGTGAACTCCCACAAAGACATGGAGCGAAAAGGTTCAATGTCTGGTCATAACATGTAGTCAAGAATATTATTCAACATGGTTGGTTGGCCATCACGGAAAGTAATGTTCAATTGGTCTTTAGCTTTGAACACCTCAGACTCATTGTTTTCTACATCATCACGCTGATGGAATGGGTTAAGATCATTGTTATTCATAACAATGTTTTCTGCAGGCTCCTCCAGAGCATCATCATTGTGCAGTAAACTGTTAGTGTCCATGTCAGTTGTAGGCAAAGTTCTGCAAATAAAGCTGTCGAACAATTGCCATTTAATGGACTTGAAAGAGTGATTGCAGTAATAGTCACCCCCTCCAACAAGGTAACTCATCACTTGTGGGTGCACAATCTCCTGTCTGGCTATCATTGTGTTGATGGTTTTAGTAAAGAGGCTCTTGTTGATAACAGGAGCAGACGCAAGACCACCATCAAATTTGACGTCATTTTGTCGGATAGCATATAAAACAGCAGCCAAGCCAACATGGGTTGGTAACTAGGACTTCATAATGTAATTTGTCACATAATAAACTAATGCTATTAGTTGTTCATCCATGGATGCAGTCTTTTCAGCAGTATTGACTACGTCTCGGGATCGGGTTTTGTCAGTGCACGCGTAGAACCGTTCATGCGCATGCAACGATTTACGTCAACTTTTGATTGACCTGGCTTCAGATGTTTCCAAGTGTTGGTATGTTCATGCCAGTTACAATCCACAGCAAGTTGGTGTACAGTATTTCTAAACACAGAAGCAAAGGCATTCTCAGACATAGCACTACATATTGGACCAAGAGTCATTCTAGGGTCTGGTTGAGAAGAGTCATGGGGTGGCTTTCAAACAGAAAAGTCTGGGGTATCTACTGTTACATGTGTATCACCCCGGTAAGTGACACATTATAGTGCTCTCTAACCAGTCAAACATTGATTGCTTAAATTCAGTGCAGTCAAACATTTTATCACACAGGACCTGCAGATTTGGATTGCCTTTGATCCACAACAACATGTGACAATGTAATGTTCCACGCCCTTGAGCCTCAACCATACCGTAATGTGCAGTATAGTGCCCGAAGAGACCCGGACCTCAATTGTAGCAAGCACATGTTGAGACGATTTGATCATGGTATCAAAGAATTCAGCAGCAGCACCTGGGTGATTGGCAACAAAAACACCCTGTTGAAAGGCTGACATTTGCTGCCATTGTGCATGGGACAATCCAGCAATTATCCCAAGGAGTGGGTTATATATATCAGCAGGATTCAAGGTGATAAACAAAGCAGGCATTCCAAGTTTTTTAATAAGAGCCCTAATCTCATTGCACCTGCATAACTTGTAACCAAAGCTGCCCTTCAGGTCCTTTGCTGCTAACTTTAAGCGGTTCAGTAATCTCATTGCATGCTTCTGTTGACGATTGGAGGGTTTGGCGGCAGGGTTTTGTTCCCACATAGTTATCATTTCTGTTAGGTCAGGGGCAAGTGTTTTCATTTCCTGCACAATAGTGTCTCGCTCACAAGAGCGGATAGAAGAAGAGGTGTTCTTGTTCACCTCACGTTTCTGCAAAATGTTTCAACAAATATAAGCAAACCTTGCGTCTTTCTGGAAAGGGGAGTTGTGCTGCTTGAGCAAGTTACGGACTTGTCTCTCAAATGAGATATGTTGATCTGGACGTTGATTTGGTTTGTTGAAACCACCAATACCCCATGGATCCAAACGAGGAAAGAGGTAACTCATCAAGCCGAGCTCCAACTCGGCTTGTGTGACCTCTGTGACGTCCGAATAGCCCCCCCCCTGAACTGACGGTTAGTAACGACAGTGGTGGATGTAAGATAACTTTGCAATTTGTGGATTGTTGGATCAATTCCCATACTAATTCCAGTGAGTTGTTAAGTCATGCAAAAATGCTTCAAAGTGTACACGTTGAACGTTGAACTTCGTCTGGATAGAATTGTCAAAATGCATGGTGGAGTGTCACTTTGAAGCATTTTCTTTATAAACAAGGACGACAAATGCAAGATATTCTCGAGTCTCAAGACTAGAATGCCTCGGCGGAGCTCTGCACCCGTCATCTTGCGCTGACACCCAGTGATCATCTACTTCAGCCCACTCATCGGCAACCCAATATCCAGATTTGATAACATCATTATGGAGGAACTTGCACCACTGCATTGGCGGTTTCCCAGCATCATCGTGTCACGGTAAACTCGATAGGGCTTGGATGTGCGAAGACTTCTCTTCCTAGGTTTCGCATGGTGAATAGTTACCGGAATCTTTCCTGTAGGATGACACCTTCAAGTTATAGAGAAATTTGACGCGTTAATATATAAAATATCCAGGTGGGCCTCCTTTCGGTTGATGACCGCGTTCTCAACCATAACTTCAATGAAATTTCTTCACCAAGGCTGTCAGCAGTATAGCGCGTGCTGCGATCCCTCCGACCGTTTGGGTCTCGAAATAGGCCGTGCCGATATGCGCCATACATTAGCTGAGACACTGTCCATTTTCCAATCTGCTTTGAACCTTTCACCTGCTGATCGATCCCGCTTTGTCTTGCATGGCGTTGGAGCCCACCAGTCACTTCCTTACGAGTACATACATCATGCCTTTTCTGTCCAGGCCAATAAATTCCCAGATGCCATCGCAGTGGAACACTTCAACGAAATTATGACCTTTAAAACGTTGGACGAGACGTCGGACATTCTCTCAAGGCATCTTAGAAGTTGCGGAATACATCCTGGAAAGAGAGTCTGCCTTTTGGTTCAGCGTTCTGTTGCTATGATTATATCAATCCTAGCTATACTCAAATCGGAGGCTGCATACATTCCGGTAGATGGAGGTATAGTCACCGACCAAACGCTACGCTTCATATCGGACGACTCGAATTCATGTTTAGTTCTCTGCCTATCCCATTTCCGTAACAAAGTACCATCTTATATGGAGAACATCGATTTAGACAGCTTTCTCCTTCGACATTCACGGTCCAGTTTATGTCCCGATCCATCTTTCACGGACACATCAGCTGGTCATCACGAGGCATATGTAATATATACTTCGGGTGAGCCTGATAAGACTCTATTTTTCTGCTAGTGTATTCTGAATGTGTATCCATAGGGACTACAGGAAGGCCGAAAGGTGTCAGCATAAGCCACAGAAACCTGACAAACTGTCTGTGCACCATTCATTCATTCTGACAACGAATTAATTGTTACATGAAGCACTCTGTTTACAACCAGGGAAACTCCAGATGAAGTCAGGTGCTCGGGTTTCGCAACTATTGAATATTGCCTTCGATATGTGTGCTTGGGAAGTTTTGGGATCTCTTGTTGACGGTTGCACTCTCTGCATACGAGGAAAAGCCCAAAGTGATTGGTCCCATGTGCTGCGAACTGTGGACATTGTGATTTCAACTCCCATGATCCTTCAATGTTACAACCCAAGTGACTATCCTAACGTATGCTGTGTAGCCACAGCAGGTGAACCGTGCCCCCAGGCCCTGGCCGACAGCTGGTCTCAAGTTATGTAATTCTATAACTCATATGGACCAACTGAGGTGCATTTTCTGCTGTTTATATCCGTCAATGTCACTAAAGCTTCAACAGACAACTATCGTCAACACGATTCACTCACATGTGATTGGGAATCCTACGCCGAACAATCGAATATACATATTAGACGATGATATGAAGTCAGTTCCATTTGGTCAAATAGGCATGACTTGGGCATCGGGCCTTGGTACATCATCAGGCTACGTTAATCGCCCCGAGCTTAGCAGTGGACGCTTTGTGGAGGATCGTTTTACCCTAAACAGGTTCGTAGTAGTACTCATTTATTTATTTGCTTTAACTCATTTCTTATCTCAAAATACCAGGAATTTAATGTTCAATACCGGGGATCTCTGCAGATGGAATGCAGAAGGTCTGTTAGAACATTTTGGGAGGATAGATGACCAAGTGAAAGTGAAGGTATGCTGATCGCCAAATGACATAGTCAACCACTTGAGCTGAGCCTAATTAAGGGATTCCGGGTAGAACTTGATGGAGTTGCTTCAGCAATGCTGTCATGCACAGAAGTGACTCGAGCTGTGGCTCTACTAGTAAACAGTGCCCTCTGGGGCATCATTTGCCCTAAACACGTAGACATTGAGACTGTGCGTAAAGCCATATCACGGTCAATGCCATACTATGCAGTGCCGTCCAGTTTTATTGCTCTGGATGCATTGCCCATGACTAGGTTAGTCGTTTGATATGATATTCCATCTTGCCACCATTGTCTCATTCACCCATCATAGTAACGGAAAAGTTGACAAGGTTTTACTTAGGGAAACCATACTTGAAATCCAGTCTCGTTCTAACGACAGCGGAAGGACCAGAGACTAATAAGGCTTTTATTGTGTTTCAAGCTTTACCATGTCTAATATATTTTGCACTCAACACTCCACTGGTCCTTTCTGACTGGTCCTTTCCATTTCGATAATGATGCCATGTTTTTCGGCGGACCCTTTAGTTTGACTGTACTACAGTCTACGAGGTCCAGCCCGTGGCTCTGCCACTGGTGCGATGTTTCTGCTATATGATAAATAATAATAATAATTATATTAATTATAACAATACTGTCAAGTGATCAAAATGTTTAAGTCAGTGAACTTATGCTGTCTGTAATGTATGTTAAGTCTTTGAATCCTATGATGCATGTTTGACTTGCTGTTCCGTCGTTGAATGTTTTTATAAGCCTGCCCTAAACTTGTGCACAGTATACTGAATTCAAGCAGATGATTCATTGAATCTTTACAAACATCAACATATATTGTAGCATAAAAAGTCTGTGGTATTACATTGATAAATTGATGAGAAATAAAAAAAGACTCCAGAAATGGTAAAGGATGATGATATGATCTGATAACAAAACACTTTAGTAAAAAGGGTGAGAATTGGGGAAAAATCTACTTGCCAGTCACAGATAAAGCCAGTCAGAATTTTGGAATACACCAAATTGACGGTATGTCTGTTATTTGAACCATGTGGAAATAGCACTTTTATTCTCTCTCCTTGATGGGCAGTTCTTCTGATGAAGGTTCCAATGTGAGGTGTGGAATAAAAGCTATCTTTCCTGCATGTTTTCCTCCTGAGACATGGCACTTCAATACTCTTCTCTTCATCTCTATCAAAATCATGTGTGTTCCATTACAGAGTCCATTTAGGGGATCAATATTGCAGAGGAGCATAAGTGGACATTCAGCTTTAAGTTTGAGGTGCGCTTCAGGAAGGCCAGATACTTGCAAGGAGTTCAAGAATTCCACAGGATAATGTTCATGCCCCTCTCCAACCACTTTATCAATTGACAGAGCTACTAACTCTTCTCCAGGGAATGTTGTGAGGATTGCTGAATTAAGGTCGCTAACGGCATCATTTTTTGCAGAGAGGATGACACGGTGGTGTGAGGAATCGATTTTTCTTATCGCATTCCCGTCATGTCGTGGTTAGCAGACTCGATCCCCATCACTCCTCTTGCCCTTGGACTAGAGATTACAGCAGGTGTCTTATTACTTTTATCCTTTTTCTTCTTATTTTCTATTCACACTCATGTCCTATCGTACCTACAACGAGGTAGACTTGTTGTCGACCCTCGAGAAGATATCCAGATGACATAGCCACAATCCAGTGCTATGTCTGGGAATACTTCGGAGGAATATTGATAAGCGAAGAATGTTGTGAGTCAGCGCCTTCTCATGGGCTTACTGATACAGCCAATCGCACATCCCTTACCAATACGTTTTCTCATACAATTAGTAAATATGATAGATCGGACCACCTTCTCCTTTTTTCTTATTGGTTAGCTAGCTGGTCAGACCACTTTCTCAGTTTTTCCCTTTCTCGGTCTGACCATCGCCGTTCACTATATAAAGAAGTACATACTCGATGTATTGTTCTCTAGTTCAATATCAGTTTGGATTTGCGCTCATACCGATACTCTTCATTCTCATACCCTGATTCACCGCCTTCCAGCAAGGACTTGACCAGGCATTGTGCTTTGTTATATAGCTTCGTATTTGTTGCCTGACAGGTGGAGGAAATTGTTCAATTGAGAACTTCTGGGAAGTGTCTAGCCATTTGCTGAGAGCTAACAGGGACAGAACTAGAGTCCAGTATGAGTAACTATATTATCAGAGAGTACAGAATACGTACAGTACCTAGAGTCCAGTATGAGTAACTAAAGAATAGGAATACTGGACTCTGCAATACTAGTCCAAAGTTTTGTAAACAAAGGTGAACAAATCAGCCACAAAGGCAGAATTATAGATGCTCAGTGAATACTGAACAATAGAGCAAAAAGAATAAAGAGGAAAGTGATTTAGAAAGAAGGGAAAATAAATAGCACAAATAGGTGCAGAATCACCAAAACTAACAGAAATAATGGTCATCTTTGTCTCCATTTGCAATTCCAGGATAGGTAGTGTCAACTAATGAGTCTATGGTGTTTTATGGCATAAGCATGTTGGCGGGAAGCTCAATAGTTCTATCTCCTGTAATTTCACGACCACCACCAACATCCAGGAGCCAGCTGTTACAATAACACAATTTTTGGACCTTTCCTTTAATTTTCATCCTCCGCTTTAATAACCTTTTACTATAGTTCACACTCTGTGCCATACAGCACTTTCCTTTTTTGTTCTAACTCCACCTTCTCGTGCAGCGCTGCCTTTATTCTTCTTTTAGACTCAAACTCTCTCATGCAGTGGAGCTGGTCACATGGGCTGCGCCCTCTGACATTATCAGCCACTGCCTTTATCAACTGTACAGTACATAGGTACAAACACTCTGTATTAGTATAAATACCCCAATAGATCAAGGAGACTCCTCAGCGAGTCCTCCTGTTGTTAACCAACAAACTCTCTGCAGCCTAAGGGGTAACCACTCCCCATCCACTACCTTTATAGTGTTTTCCTGTGTGCGCCAGAGTAACTAACTCTTGATTGTTACACCAGCTAGCAAAGGCTTCACTTTCTGGAGAAACCATATATGGGTTAGGTGTCTGATTGATGGAGCTGGGGAGAAATGAAGACTGGAGCAGAGTAAAAATTCCCTTGCTTGCCAGCAGTTGTCTTACAAAATAGCTCAACATGCACTTTCTGAGTCCAAAAAAAAGCGGATCAATAGCAAGCACAGGGAGAAGGCTATCCAGCAAGCAGTGAAAAAATACCATGCGGAAAAGAAGATAAGCCCAAGCAGGAGAGGCAGAGCTTGCGCCGGCTTTGCTGAGACGTTGAGGAGGAATATTCCAAGGGGAAAAGGCAGCAAGTTCATGTTGACTATAAGACAGTTTCATGCTGGCTGAATGGAGGGAGAAGCTGTGCTGAGTTTAACCAGGAGACCAATGCATGGTTAAAACCGGAGGAGGAGGAGAATGTTGTTGCCTATTGTATTGAGCTTGCAAACAGAGCTTTCCCACTCAATCACAAAGTGCTGAAGACTCACATTGATGCCATCTTGAAGGCCTGCATGGAAGCTTCCTTCCCAAAAAGGGTGCTGGGAAGAGTTGGACAAGTTGATTCCTCGGAAGACATTCAGCACACCTTAGCCCATACTGGAGTGGTGCACTGGACACTGCACGTGGCCATGTGGTGAACAAGCATACACACAAGAAGTGGTGCAATTTGCTTGAGGAGGTACTTGTGGCACAGAATATTAAGGAGGACTGTATTTGGCAGCGCAAAGCGACTATGTTTATTGGCTCGAGGTCTGAAACAGTATGTTATTGGACCTGCAAAGAAGAAATGTCAGCACCTGCAATGGGATGGGAATTGTGAAACCATCACTGTAATAGTCACAAAATGTGCTGATAGTTTGGATCTTCCACCCACTGTAATCTACAAAGGTAAGAAGTTTCTAACACGGTGGCACAAAGATAACCCCCTAAATGATTTGTAAGATCTTTTGTTTCATCTCCAGCTTAAGTCAGCTCCTAACTGGATCTATGTAGGATTGCACACTCTTCAAAAGGTTGGACTGATAGGGTCATTGGCCGTCTGTGGATTGAGGATTTTGACAAAAAAAACTGCTGCAAAAGCAAACAGCCAAGCAAGATTATTACTTGTGGATGGCCATAACTTACATTATTCAGAATAATTTCTTGATTATGCTTGTGAGCATAACATCCATATACTGTGCTATCCTACACATGCAACCCATGTCTACCAGGGCCTTGATGTTGTTACCTTCAGCCCTCTCAAGCGCTTCTGGACAGAAGAACAAGATCAATATGAAACCTCAAAATGGCAAAAGGTTACATTTCCATCTATACAAAGGCACACAAGCGGGCCCTGACACCACAGAACATTCATATGGCATTTTGCAAAACGGGGGTCTGACCCTTTAATCCTGATACTGTCACAACTGAGATAATGGCCCCAAAGTCTAGGGACATTGTCATCAAGTTACCTGCCACTTACACAGCCAAGTCCTGTGAGAGCATTTGTGAATACTATATGTCAGTATCAGCAGGAGCACACTGTTGGAACTACTTTGTCAATTGAACCATCTCTAAGTCACCCCAAAAAATCACATCAGCCACCGACAACCCTTTTGTTACACCATCAGAAAGTAACTCCACAACTAAACAAGAGATGCTAAACAACGTACCTGCATGGATGAAACCAGCTCAGTGTCACTTCAGTCACCCCCAAAACATAAGCATTTAGCTTCAACTATCTGTGTAAATGTATAAAGCTAAGAGCTTGTTTTTCCTGGTATCATCCCAAGTGCTCCAGCAAGGATGGGATCATCCCAGAAGTGGGATAATACCACCCTTCTGGGATTTTCCCATGGTATCAGACCATTTGTTATGGTGGGATAATCCCATTAGATGGGATAATCCCAGACATTTGCCACATGTCACATGGTGTCAGGGGGGCTTTACTGCAAAAATAGTTCCTGCATAAATGTAGCCAACATCAATACATTATCAATAGTACTAATAGCCATGAAGCAGAATACAATACTACCTGCTTTCATCATTTATAACATATATACAAATTTCAAATGGTGTTTACTCTCAATTGAACCTTAATTTGTCCAGCTTCTAGTGTAATATCATATACTATAGATTGATGGAGGAGACTTTGACCAAAGGTTAGTGTAACTAATTGTGACATATAACCATTTACAAATTAACCTGATTTAATTCAGTTGATTAGGAGATAATTCAACCATATCTCTTTTCCTTAACTGACTATATAACTTTGTCATTCCTACTTATCATATAATTTACTGCATATCACAAAGTAGATTTATCTACCCTGGATTTCTATCAATATTACTTAAAATGGCTTATAGTCAAAGGAATACAAGATGTTTGACAATACCAAGCATATACATCTGCAGGATTACAATACCTCTCATTCAGGCTCATCCAACTTTAAATAATGTAACACTCTTGCAACCAGGCAAAGATATGTCACAAATCCATTTAATGTGCTGATCCAAAAGATATGATATTTTTTTGAATTGTGCAGCTTTATCCAAGTGCCTGAACTGAAAAATGCACAAAGATACCAGTCCGAGTAAGTACTACATATTCATTATCCTTCCCTCTGCTGCATCATTGTCAAAGGCAGAACATGTCTTGCATGAGACAAATTGCTGGCTCTTTGTGGCAGCCCAGCATCCACAAGCCAACACCCATTTTATCCACTATATGTCCCCACGCATACAATTGATTATAAATTTTTGTGAAAACAAAAATGGCTGAAAGGTGTGCTCTGCATGCTTATGCAATTTCATGTGACTTGGGATGAACCTACGTGAGGGCTACTCTGAATCACTGTCCCAGTTCAACCTTAGGTTCATCCAGGTCCTACCATAACATAATAGTTGGTTTACAAACAAAATACTGCAACATGTAAAAAATGGAAACTGCTGGAAAAGGACAATAATATTTTAAGCTGCTGGGAACTTACCTATGATTATATGTTACAGAATAACCTTAGTGCATTTCAGGAGTATTTTCCCCTGTCATGCTGAGTCACCAGCAGCCTAAGCATGCTATTCGATAATTCTGTTCCTGTTGTGGGATG